ATCTCACCTTGCAAAGCCGCGATTTTCAATGTCAGATTTCAAGTCTGGCAACCCGGTAATCCTTCTGCACTGCTGGCTCCCCAGGGCGCCATCAGAGTAAAATCTAGGCCGGCAACTATCCTTCCTAGACGCATTTATTCTACGCGCCATAATGGTGCAATGACTTCAATGCGCGTAGCGTGGGGCTGATTCGGGCTGAAGCCTAGAGCTGAAAAGGAGTCAGCCCTTCGATGAGCCCACGACTCCGCCCAACGCAGCTTGCGTAGAATAGATAAAAACTCGGGCAGCAGACGTCTTGGCGCAAGAGGAACCACAGCTAGACCAAAAGATAGACCTCAAAATGGACGACATTCGGATAGAGACTTACGAACGCATCCGCAAGGCCGTCTCATCCTCGGTCAACGTTCCGGCGCGCCCAGTCTCCAATGAAGCGAAACTGACTAAAGCCCGGGCCGCGCTGCCAAATCCATCAGCCAAGGACTATCTGAGCGAAAAAGGTTATCCTGACACCTTGGATCATCTCATCAATGATATTGCGCCAGCTCTGAATGGTCAAAACCGGACTGCGACATACTGGGGAGGATCTGCGACGGGGGGCACGCTGACGATCGCGGAGATTGCGGAGAACCTCGTCAGTGCGTTTGATCAGGACGTGTCTACTCACCTACCTCGGGAATCAATTGCCACTGAGGCAGAGGACGCCGCGCTGGTGATGCTCATAGATTTCTTCCATTTGGGCAAGCCGGAGGAGTGGGAGGGGAGGATTTTCACGACTGGGGCTGTGGCAGGGAACGTGCTTGGGATCGCATGCGGGCGCGAGAAGGTGATACAGGCTAGACTTCCTGAGAACTCGGAGAGCGTGGCGGACTTGGGCATACTGGAGGCCTGTATGAAAGCTGGCGTGAAGAAGATCCAGATCCTCGCCGATGGGGGGCACAGCTCCCTTGCCAAGGCTGCGTCCATCGTTGGCTTGGGTAGGAATGCGGTGAAGGTGTTGCCGTATAGCGAAACAGAGCCGTGGCGGCTCGACATCAAAGCTGTGGAAAAAGAGCTGCAGAGGGAGGGGGTCGCGAGTATCATTGCTGTGAGCTTTGGCGATTCCATGACCGGAAGATTCGCAACGACTGGCATCAGTGACATGAAGAAGTTGAGAGAGCTGGCGACTAAGCACAACGCCTGGCTTCATGTTGACGGGGCGCTGGGCATATACACTCGTGCTCTGCCAGCGGACAAGGAGTTTGCACGTTTGAAAGAGTATGCTGCTGGCCTGGAGCTGGCCGATAGTATCACCGCCGAGCTGCATTCCGTTCTCAACGTGCCCTACGACACAGGAGTCTTTTACACGCGCAAGGCTTCTACGTTATATGCTGTCTGTAACAACGCCGGCGAGAGGTCCCTGTCACTGGCAGATGGCTCTGTACAGAGTCCTCGGAATATTGGGATTGAGAACTCACGCCGATTCCGCGCCTTGCCGGTGTATGCCGTTCTGCTTTGCGAAGGCAGAGACCGTCTCAGTCAGATGCTTGCTCGGCTTGTAAGATCGACCCGCGCCATAGCAAAAATCATTGCTTTTGAGCAAGGGTACGTCTTACTGCCAGGCGATAGTACCTTGGGCAAAATTCGCGCACTTGTGAGCGATATGCATGACATCCATTTCACCGTGCTTTTTCGAGCCACAGACGACAGTCTTAATGACAAACTCGCGGACGAGATCAACAATGATGGCGTATGGTATGTAGGCAGGACAACTTGGGAAGGGAAACCGGCATTGCGAATCGCTGTGGCGAGTTGGAGGATCAACGAGAAAGTAGATCCGGGGAGCGTGGGATACTACTTAGGGGTATATTCGATGGAGCATAAGCACGGCCCTTGGAGACGGTAGACCTGTAAACTCAATGTACACTCTCCCCAAAGATAGCATACGCACTGGGCTGGTAGGAGATTAATGCTATAACTAGAATGGCGATACAATTTAATAACTGTATCAACATAAGAGCTCCATAATGGTGCTCTGATTCAGGATTTGCTCTTTGTTGCTAGTGAAAATCAAGACCTAGCCCAAACGAGCTCATGCCGAGGAAGATAACTCTGTGTCTCCCCCGGTTCCATTAACAAGCTCTAAACTAACCCTATTCAAAAGCAATTATTCAGGGTAGAATAAGAATTTAAATATGGATAATTGGTTGCTCGAGACTGAGGCGACTTGGTTGATACGTGATTGTAGCTTATTTCAGGCATCGAGGCAACCCCGTAGCGCATCATACGAGTCTAGCAAGGTATCCAAATCTAATGACATAGGTTTCATGCTGATGATATTCGATGGCCTCCATGAATTAAAAGAGGGGTGGCCTGCAACCTTTTCCTCTTCTTACAGTGGCTTGGATTTGCTGGGGAGTTGCTGGGGGTGAGGATGCATGATGGCGAAGGAGATGATGATGAGACTACTGGCGTCCTAATGGTTGGTAAATATGGTGGAAGCCTCCCTGCCTGTCATTCGGATTTGAGCTTTGGAGACACCAAATGAGGAAAATGTCGGACAAAGAAAGGAGAGTTTGTAAATTGCTTCTAGGAACTGCTACGATTTCCAGAGTCAGCACAATCGACCCTCTCTTGTTTCAATATGCCTCAAGCGCTTCTAATTTCGAATACAACGCCAACCACGCGTGGAAATCTTCCGTTCCTACTTTCTCAATCTCTGCTCGGAGTCGTGTTTTCTCGGTTTCTCTTGCCTCCGTCTCCTCAGCTGCCTCATTCCTGCATACCCACCACCCCGAAATGGGTTGAATGGTGTCTCGCACGACAGATTCACGCTCTTGACCCTCTGCCGACTGATGCGATGAGTCCTGACTGTCGAGAGCATTAATTCTCCTCCCCGTGTCAACAGTTGACGAAGTGGCAGAAGTGCCAACCGATCCGGCCACCATGGTTGCCTCGTATTTGTCCCCATTGTCATTAATCGAGATAGGTACAGATGCATACCCGGCGGGGACATCGTCAATGTCAATCCTTGGGTACAATATGTCGTTAAACATCTTGTTTGAACGCCTTTTTGCCCCACCATCCTCGTTCCAGAAACCGAAAGCCGTGAGCCACCCGGTCAGATAGTCTGTGCCACTATCCAAGCTGACCTTGTGCACAATGGTGTTCCAGAACTCCGTTGTTTCGAAGCTATCGGGGCTTTGAAAAGAGGTGATCATACCGTTCAGGATTGGGCGTAGCATCCCGGCGAATTGAGTTGGTTCAGATCCAAGTTGCTCGATCTTGTCGATGCGGTTGAGGATATCCTTCCAGTCGTCGACCTCGCCAAGTAAAGTGACAGAGGGTATACCGCATGTGACAGTGGCGCCGTAGGAGAAATATTTTTGCATCGCCCCCATGAAGAGAATCGCCCCAACAGCCTTATCAATATCGGTAGTGGTGGAGAAAGAGGGCATAACCCAACCACGCAGCTCGGGATCAACGACATTCTTGGCAATCAGATGAGTCATCTCGTTCGCAATATATGCAAAGTCAAGTTCTTCCACCAGTAGGTGAAGATGCTTCTGCCCTGAATGGGCTACAAAAAAGGAGCGCAACTCCTCTGCATGGGCGTTGATGTAGAAGCTTAGCTGTGTCAAGATGGCAAACCAGACATCCTCTGGGCGGATCACCAGGTGATGATGCGAGCTGTAGGCTTCGTATGCCGTCCAGAAGAAGCCGTTGTTTGCTGCGGTGATGTGTCCTTGATTGAACTCGTCAGGGGCAAAAGAGGCTTGGACGAGTTGTTTGCACCGCCGGTGATGCTTTGGAGCTGCTAGCTCTAGGAGCTGAGAAGCATCAGCAGCTTTCGCTCCTCCCCAGGCCTTTGCCTCATGGTCGACGACCTGAAGCGTGATGGGCATTGTGCTTTCTGTGGTAAAACGCGCCTGTGATATCACAACGAAGAGGTATTTATTAAGGCACGTCGGCACTGGCTTTTCTCACGGATCATCGAACTAATGCGTTCGATGAAGGTGGGGATGTGAGGAGTGACGTCTGATGATGATGACAGAGATTCAAGATCTGCCCATCCGGCCGAATTGGGAGGCCACTGAAGCGGGGTGATGCTGCGCTGGTTGCCTAATTTCATCAAGCCTATCATATCAAATGGTAAGTCATTAGATAAACATCTGTCGCACAGGTTAATTCAAGGCGTAAAAATCCCCTTTGGTAGCGAAATATATGATCTACTAGGTAAATCAAGGTGATTATGAATTTTTAAAAGGAAATAACGAATAGATTTGTATACTAAGCTATGAAAGGGGACTTGAATTCGTCTCTGTGATAGATGGTTTGGTTGCTTAAATGAGTGGCCCCCCTATATTGCACTGGAATTAGCGTCTAAGGGTGCACTGGCCAACTGCCCCTTAGTACAGAGCCCCGCCGGACTTTTATGGCGCCGTCCCGCCCCCCACGCTAACCTTACCTTCGCCCTTTTCATCTTCCCACCCTTGAAGTCATTTCCATAATCAACGTCACAGCAACGTGCTACCTCTGTCTACTAAAGTCCCTTGACACCGCTGTCGGCAATTAGCCTGCTGCTTCCCACGTGCTTACGGGAGTTACGTGAAACTTACCTATGTCCCCGCTCCGCTTCTCTACGCCCCGAAAGTTTATCTATTCGTTTGGTTCAAGTTATCATCTTGACCGGAGTCAAGGTTCAAAAATCAGACTCAGCACTCGTATTTTGTACTATGTTTCAGAATGAACAGGAGCAACCACCAGCGTCGGCCAGGAAATAGAACACAAATCGCGTGCATAAATTGCAAAGAAAAGAAATTAAAAGTTGGTGCAACAACCGGGACCTTACCTAGCTGCTCAACTGACATTAGTCACTAGTGTGACAATAAGATACCCGAGTGCGAGAACTGTCGCCGGTCAGGCAGTGGTAGGTTCATCCCTAGAAGACACAGAACTGGTTTCGTGGTGTATCTGGTCTCGTAAACATGTAAACTTTGCCCTAATTCGAAGGATTATTAGCATGCCTAGTGGAAGATCCCGCCACGAGAAGACATCAGCCACGAAACTACGTTGACGTTCTAGAGCAACGCGTGGCCTACCTGGAAGGGGCTTTGAGGCAATGCCGCCCTGAGCTGGCTCATGATCATCTGGTATCGCCCAACAACCCGCCTTTAGAACCTCCGTCTACATCACCTTTCCCCAACCAGACCGGCAGCAATGTGGCTGGCGAACAACCGAATTCCGGCAGGGCCGAAGGGATTGACGATGCACCTGAAAATTTGAACGACTTAGCCTCCAAGGTTGGCCTTTTAAGTCTGAATGCTGCTGGGGCCGAGCCTCACTATCTCGGCTCATCCTCGACCTTTGCGTTTTCCCGTTTGATCACCGCCTCGTTGCGCCATGGAGTCTCAAACCCTTCAAGCGCGACACACAACTCTCGCATAGACCAGCGGGCTGGTGGTGATTTGGCCATCCACCCAGGGGCATACCAGTTACCTGACTTTGAAGCGGCACTTCAACTTAGCAATGCTTATTTCCATAACATCCACCCTCAGTACCCATTCCTACATGAGCCCACATTCAGGGCATGGGAGACGACTTCATTCAGTCATCCGACAGAGCTCGAGGCTCGTCCATCTGACCCCACCCCTTTGTTTTTCCTTAATATGGTAGCACGCGAACCGAATCCCCCCCGTAGGCTGCAAAAATCTGAACTCTGTCATAGGTGTATGCCATCGGAGCGTTGATGTTACCCAACTCTGGTTATCCAGCAGAGGCAAGTTGATCCACTGCAGTTAAACCACTCTGGCTGACTAGCCTCATAGCAATTGTATGTCTCTGCGCAGATGTACGCCGAGCCCATCCTGGCGCGCAATAATTACGAAGCTGTTCAGGCTATTTTATGTTGCGCCGTATACTCGCTCCGATCATCGATAGGGACCTCCCATTGGTATGCGCGATCCCGGAGTGCCAAAAACTATTACTTACACGATGCAGGAAACTTGCCGGTCTAGCCCTTCGCCAATGCATTGATCTTGGCTACCACCGTAAATTATCAGGCCGCCATAGCTCGAACATTGATCCGCTGCGGCTAGAGCTGCGCAAGAGGATCTTTTGGTGTGCCTATTCCATGGACTCTCAGTCATCCATCATGCTCGGCCGACCTCAAGGTATACCTTACCAAGAAATGGATGCCGAGGTACGATCTAATTACCCCTGAGTTGATACAACTCACAGACATGTCTTGGAAACTGTCTAACCTGTGGTAGTTCCCAATGGATGTTGAGGACTCGAGTATCACTTCAGATGGGATATTCACCTTCTCACATGATAGCTCCCTAGGCGATCTTCCAACAGTCATGGCACGGGCGATTCATCACTTTCGCATTCGAAAGCTCATGAGCCGGATTCATAGTGCGCTATACTCCGATGTTACGATTTGTGACCCGTCAGACGAAACCTATCGATTACAAGTGGCTAAGTTCCGTACTGAGGTCGACAACTGGCGAGCTTCCGCCCCAATCGTGCCCTATAAAGGCCAAGAGCTCTCGCTATTTGCAACTCCGGCTTGGTTTGACCTGGAGTACAACTACGTTCTCTTACAGCTCTACCGAAGGCAGATCACCCACGGCCAAACAGACCCCACAGATCCTGCTATCCTCACCTGCCTCCTACAAGCCGCACAGAGCATGTGCCAGACTTATCGCCGGCTATACCTGCAGAGGTCAATGACCTGCACGTGGGCGGCGCTCCATGAGGTTTTCCTAGCCGGGCTGATGTATCTTCACTGTGTCTGGACATTTCCCACGGCGCGCGAGGCACATATGCAAGGCCAGGTCCACAGCACTTGCGGAAATTGTACTGTGGTTCTGGTCATCATGGCGGAGAGGTGGCATGAAGCAGCAACTTACCGCGATATCTTCGAGACGCTGGCCAACCGGACAATGGCAATGGTTGATCAAAAAACGTCATTGTCACCGCCGCTGCTGGCTAATGCTGCAGAACCTACCAATTTAACTGGAGGAGACCTAGCAGAGCATATGGCACTAATAGATGAGATGGATATACCGGAAGGATTCGATGAATTGCTGATGGGCCTAGTAGGCGATTCACATCAACAATGGCTACTGGGCGATCATCAGATGTAATAAATACAGGGTTTAGCGTCCACAGATGCAACTGCCATTTATGGTCACCACGAGCGGATCAACCATAACAGACGGGTGTTTCTGCTAAAAGAGTGCACTGTTTGGAGGCTTGTTAACAAGCAAGTTACAAGTACAGGAGGGAGCAGGTCGCTCTCCATGGCCGAAGTCGACCCGCACGGCAGGCAGGGGCACTTTGGCCCTCTACAATATCTCATGCAGTCTGAGTAATGTCGTGACCGCTGCTATCGGCTTCAGAATATTGCAATAGCCGGAGTGTGGTACCAAATAGATGAATCCAGTCCTCGACTGCTCTCCACTCTCAATCTTATCGTGAGCATACTCCACATGTGCTCACGAGTCAGAACACTCAGGGTGGAATGGTAGTGCCACATTCTATTGGTGGGCCGACCCGAGAGAGTATGGCCATGGTGCCTGATAAGTGGGATGAGCCGAGTCATTTTGAGAGTCTTGCGTTTGTTGCAATCGCTAGCCCTGGGAACTTGCAAAATGTTCTTTCTTAATCATAGCGCATTAACAGCATCACAAGTGCGGATGGTTAACGACTTCACCCATCCGCTGGGAGCTGGAGATAAACCCTGAGCCGCGTTTATTTTACCATCGACTGAGACCAGGGTTGAATTGGATGTGGAGTCATACAACCGGCCGGATCCTGCCACCAATGAAAGCATCGTGCTGTATCGATTTGCCGTATCAATTGATAGAGGCGAGCTAGATGAAGCTGCTGGGAGGTTGTGGCTGGTAAAAGCCATTGCATTCGATAAAACCTCACTACTTTACTTCGCTCAGTTCCGTTCGTTTCGCTTCAAGCCTATCGAGACCTCGCTACTACTCTAGGCGTTTCTCAAGTCAGTCTCATCATCGTCTTTGTTGGTATCCTCGAACCACAACGTCTCGACTCGGCACCACCTCCCAATCGCTATTATGGCGAAACCAACCCATGAAGACCACCAGGTGGAAGGCTCTGCAACAATGTGGCCGCCTGGCACCATCTGTCTCGACGACATGAGGCCGTCAGACGACAGGCAGGTCATCCTTCAACCACGACCGAGTGAAGATCCCAATGATCCACTCAACTGGTCCAAATGGCGCAAGTACTGGAACTTCGGCCTTGTTTGTTTCTACGTGGCCATGGTCGCCGAGTTCATCAATGCTAATTCGCCAACATGGGGAGCGATGAACAAGGAGCTCGGATACTCGTACGAGATCTTGAATGATAGTTACGCCGTGGGCTGCGCTTCTCTCGGGCTCGGTTCCATCATCCTGATCCCGTTCGCCCTCAAGTACGGCCGTCGACCAATCTACATCTTTAGCACGGTGCTGCAGTTCGCTCTCAGCATATGGTCGGCAAAGATGCAGACCGTCGCCGACATAATGCTGATCAACATCCTCCAATGCTTTTTCGGGAGTCTTGCTGAGACCATCGTCCAGATGACCATCGCGGACCTGTTCTTTGTGCACCAGCGCGGAAAGATGAATGCATTCTACATCTGGACCTGGTATGTCGCCACTTACCTCGGTATCTTGATCGCCGGTTTTGTCGCCAAGGGTCAGGGATGGAGATGGATCTGGTGGTGGAACGTCATCTTCTTTGGCATTACTATCTTTGTCGTGTTCTTCGGTTACGAAGAGACCAAATATATCCCGCCCTTCCCTACAAGTTTGCCTCAGTCGACGGAGCCTCATGATACCGCTCTGCCAAATGCAGATGGAGAGAAAGTGGACGTGAAGACCTCTGACCAGGGCGTCGCCAAACTTCACAGGTCGATCCGAGAAGCAGAGCAAGATTCGCCTGTGAATCTTCACACGGTTCACATAAACCCCGACATTCCGGTCAAGACCTACTGGCAGAGACTGGCCATCCTCACCACCACGTCGTCTTCCGAGGGAGGAGCGCAGTCTTTCCTGCGTCACACCTGGCAGCCTCTCGTCCTCCTCGGCACCATCCCTGCTGTAGCCTTCGCAGCCCTTGTCTATGGCATTTTGACGGGGTTGGGAGATACTATGTCTGCCACGTTGTCGACCTATCTGCCCGAGCCTCCTTACAACTTCAACTCTGACCAGATTGGCCTCATGAGCATCCCTAGAATGATTGGCTCCACGATTGGCCCTCTCGTTGGGCCGCTCAGCGACTGGTGGATCGTGTACCTCGCCCGCCGCAATAAAGGCATATACCAGCCGGAAACCCGGTTGTGGTGCATCATTCCCTTCCTGGTATTCGTCCCTGCCGGTTCACTGATGTTCGGTATTGGCCTGAACAACTCTGTGCCCTGGCCCGTCATCGCAGTTGGGCTCGCTCTGTACCAGGTTGGGATCACCTCGATCAATACTATTGTTTTGACCTACTTGACCGACTGCTACCAAGACGTAAGTTCCATATATTTCATGTTCTCTTGCTCTAACAGGAAATCTAACCGTTGTGATAGATAATTGGAGACGCTTTGGTCGGTGTGACCGTCGTCCGTAATACCTTTAGTACTGCATTTGTCTTCGCCGTCACGCCCTGGGCCGCGAAAGTGGGTATCAAATGGGTGATGGTCACCATTCTAGTCATCGCGTGCGTTATCCTGTTGTTTTTCATCGTCTTCATCAAGTGGGGAAACATGTTCCGAGCTCGCTTTGCTTCGAGATACCACTATTACGCTGCTAGGCAGTACAAGGAGAGAAACCACTAGAAAGATGTGGCAGATGGACATTTAGTCCCGTCTGGAAGCACACTCGGACAGGACATGTAATTTGACAACACACGGGGTGATGAAAGAGGGACAAGGGATAGTGCCTGAATGTTTGTCTATATAGTTCAAGTAGTTACGTAGTTTAAGATGGCATGTCACAGTCTCACAGTCTCGAATCAAGATAATATTTGTCTCGCAAGACCTGTTGGATGAGCGTGCAGGACAAATCAATTGTATCAAAATAGATCTTTCCCTTAATTCTACGATCTGATTTGTTAACTGCAGAAATCCCTCCTAATTTTACTCTTGGTATAGTTGAATAGCGGAAATAGCAAGCTTGGTGTATTATCTTTTTATCACATTAGTTTGTACAAGATATTGCGGAAAATAGTTCATTTGTCTTATCCCTAGGTCTCTAATTTCTACGTTAAGGGACATAAAATAAGCATTTCCATCGCCGGGGTTTCCAGGCAGACACAAAAGACTGTCATTCACAGCTTGGCATGGGGTGCCTCCTGTCCCGCAAGTACCAGATTCGCTTTCGACAAAGTGTTTGGTCCTGCGCTCCCTTGCATGATGATGTTGTCTGGCTTCTGACCCTCACGCAGCTGCCTCCACAGCCATCTCGACTTGGGCAGTTGGTCCGTCCCTGACCTCTCCCAGATGTCGACTACGTGTTTCCCGATGTTGGGAAGAAACTTGAAAGCGTGCCCACTACATCCTGTTGCCACCATCAGACTCGTGCTCCCCGGCACGTAATCGATAATGTAGTGGTCGTCAAAGGTGTCTGTATACCAGCATAGCCGAGTGCGTGTTATACCAAGGCCTTCGGCCCGGACGTCGGGCATTTCTTCGTCAATGAACTGGTTGATCACAGCTAGGGCGTGGGCAGCGATCTTATCAGTGCGGTTTGGTAGTGTCCAACGGGTTATGGGAATGCTCCTTTCCTTACCGTCCGGCTGGACTAAGGGGTTGGTGTATCTGGTGCCTCGGTAACCTATCTTCAAAACGCCGCGATTGTCACACGCGAACCCATAGAGTCCTCCGTTTCTGCCACCGTACATCTTGAACTGGAAAGTTGGGAAGTTCTTCGGAGAGTACTTCTCCCTCAAGCGGGAAGTAAGAGGGATCTTCACGAGGGCCACAGACCCGGCCGTGGCCTCGGTAATCCCATCGAGCTGAGGCACCAATGCAGGCGTCCACCCACCGCAAGCAAGGAGCACGAGTGAGCCGCTATAGACTGAGCCGTCTTCCGTAACGATTCCAGTCACGTCAGTCCTGAATTGGTCGCGATAGACCAACTCCTTCAATGCACCCCTGCTCTCTCCAAGAATAAACCTCACACCCAGTCTCTTGGCTTTGTGAAGAGCCACCCGGCACGCGTTATCAGCTACCGCATAGCCGCCTGTGGTGTCAAGCAAGCCGATATACGGTAGCCCTTTTTCCTTGCGCCGGAATGGATCGATGGCATATGCGAAACCTCGTTTGTTGGCCTCGGCTTGGTCCTTCTCATCCGTCGTCACGAGAGCCGACTTCCCGAGCCCGGCAGCTCTCATGCCGTGAATAGAATCGACCTCATACTTATCCAAGCGCTTAGTGGCGCTTAGAGACAAGCTGCCGTTGTTGACGAAGACTCTGTCTTCCGTCGTCATGCCCGGGGGGAGGTCTTTCCCGGACGCCGCCTCTTGATCCCATTCTCGCCACTGTTTAATAGCCTCGGTACACATTTCTTGATGATCTACCTCGTCTCCGTAGGCAGTACGTACGATTTTGTTGATATCTATGCCGGGTCAAAATCAAGCTGCAGCAATACCAGAGATGCCACATACCTGCTGAAGCAGCATCGCAACCCTTGTCAAAATCATAATTGGATTGTTCATACGATTGACGGTCGAACACTGTGATATTGGTGTATCCCCGGCGCGCTGCGTGGATGGCGGTACTCAAGCCGAATACACCAGCGCCGACAATGAGGATGGGCGAGGTTTTGGCCAACCCGCTGGCGCTGTTGTTGGCCATTGTCACGGACAGATCACAGATACGTCGGATTATTCGTTGAGACAATCGACGTTGCTTCAAGTTGATCTCTCGGTCAATCTGGGTATATACGACAACTTTTTGTCATAGACTTGGACATAATATAGGCAACACCAAATTCTAGCAACCTGAAATCAAATGAATTGGAGTCATCACACTCCGGAGCCATCACTCCACCAGTCCCTCTCGATGGCTAGCTCCGGGCGTTACCGTGTTTAATGAGTTGGGGATGGCATGTTTGGTGGGTTAGACGGCTCAATCCGCCAATGAAGATGTCTTCCATGACTGGGAGCCTTAGCGTACTCCTCCTCTCGACGCCTCAAACACGGAAGCAGCCAGCAATCAAGGCTCAGTCCTTAGTCTTACTTGCTCATTTTTATCAGCAAGTAGGGCCACTGCATGCTTTCGTTAGCGAGCTTGGAGATGATGAATACGGCCAATGGCGTAGACACGGATTGAGTGGCGGTAGGACTCACTTCGTAACTGCGACGAGCTACAAGTACCTACCATACAAATTAAATCAAACTTAGTCCCATTCCTTCCCTAAGCTCAGAGATTTATTGGTGCATCAAAATAGTGAAAAAACTAAATCCATTCTGACAAGTTGGAACTCAAGGGGACTAGGAGTAGGCAAACATGTGTCTTTGGTCGCCTCGCCCGGAGAAAGCGAGGCGGAATCTGCTGATCGGCGGGGCAACGACAGCCATGACTGAAAGGCGATAATTTGAAACATGCTTGATGATCAGCGGATTACTATTACAGATAGAGCCTTTCACTAGGATAGCGTACGGTGGTGATGGAGTCACTAGTCATACTTTACAATGAATAATGGAAAATTTGAAGAAGAAATACTGATACTAAAGCTCACGAAGGTAACTGACTCACTGAGGAGCAGGGATATCCCGCCTGAACCGAAGGGTAGGCGTCCACATGAATGCCTAGAAATTCTAATGGCCGTTGGTGCTGTCCTTCCTAAGGATGATCGTTGGTCCGCGGGTGAGTACTTCTGGAAATAACGAACATGGAACATTGCGTAGGTACATAGGCTACTCCCAAAAGGGCCTCCTCCGTGCATGGTGGTTTTTTTTATTGACGATCAGGGGTTTCGTGAATGTGGAGGGCATTGAATACACTGGGATTCATTCTGAACAGTGCCAAAGGACATCATCCAGCAGCATTCTATTGGAAGAGGAAACCACAATTTTGGGTGTTTGTTGTTACAAATGAGGAGATAAGCCCCGAGTGTTAAGGATACGGCCGAACCGAGCATGTCCCCATGGCTGTACTCTTATTCTCTGTTGGTGCTGTGATTCGTAAGTGGCATGACATGCTAGCTCCCAACATCCCAACGAGTAAGCAAGGATCTTCGACAACAACCAACTGCATGAACAGGAAATTTTCGATCACTTTCATTTCTCCCTCTCAACAATTACCGCCTCATTCTCCTTTTCTCCCTTACTTTTCTATACATTCTTTTACAATCTATCAGAACAATTCATGGAGCTGCCCAGCTGAACCACGACAGGCCTCGATCTCAACATGCTCCGAGTCACTCTTCTTGTCTTACTTGCCACCACCACCATGGGGCTGCCCAACTGCGGCGCCCCTCCGGTAAATTTGCCACTTCTGGATGAAGCTTTTACTCTGTGCCACCTGAAGTCAGAAAAGTATCTAATGTCAAGAGGCGAGACCCAGAACCATGTTTCGGGAGGTGTCATTGGTGGTGCCGTCGTTGGCAGCGTGGTTGGTCTTGCTATCATTGCATTAGGGGTCTTCCTCATCATACGTCATCAACCACGGTCGAATTCAATGTCCACTGCTTCACAGTTCGAAGAACTTCCCCGTGCCACAAGCACGACCAAGTTCCCAGAGCAGTCGAACGAAATGTCGCCTATCGGAGGGCAACAATTTCCTCCAAGCGAGGAGTATAATGTTCCCCAGGAGCTGTATGGTTCTGAGCCGGTGTCGCATGAGCACAGGACTAGCCCTGTGATCTTGTTTGAGCTAGAGGCCAGCGATCGCAGGTGATCATTCTATCCAAACGAAATAACTAGAAGCATCATTGAGAACTATTGGGAGTTACATGTCTTAGTTTCGGTCGCTTAATTTATTGCCATACATATAATTAGCACACATGCTTGTTACCGCCTGATATGTGACTCCTACTGTCTCATCCTGGTCGTTTCAATGCTCATTGCTCTTGAAAGCGAGAACTTCGCACTCCGCAAATGTATTCCTACAAAGCCAGTCATCGAGCATTAATGTACCTGTTCCCAAATCAAAAGTGATTCTCAATCTTAGCGAGAATTAGGATATAACTAGATCAGTTTATGAGATGGAATAGGTATCTTCGAAGTATGAAGCCACAAATTCCGATGGGTTTTCTGAGCTGCAACTCCAGTTATAGCTGGAATGGTAACAACATCTAGGAATGATAGAGTACATGTACCTCGGTACTCACTGCTCCAAGGTCAATTCTATGTCTTCTATTGACTTCATCAGCTAAGAGATCGTTCTTTTGTCGTCGAAATTGGTGTCAATGAAGTGAAATTGCTCATTTACCGATCCAGGTGTGATATTTGGGCTGATGCGGCTGACCCTCATTCGATTGAATCTGTAGCTTTGAAAGTATCTCCAGGCGAATTTGAAGTCATTTATTAAAAGTACCAAGGACGGCATAGTTAAATGTTATTGTTTGATGCCTGGGGTTGGCCTTGCCTCCTCTCTACCCCTTGGAGTCAAGCGAAACTCTTTTCAATACAGCGTCTCGATTAGCTTTAAAATGCCATAGAATTTGGGTTCAGAGAAGAAGAAAAAGATTCTACATCACCTTAAACAGCTTTATATGAGCATTCAGACTCTGACAGAATTCTACTAGTTTTCGGAGAGCTTTCAGTACCTAATCCATTACTACCAGAACCGAAATCAACCAGATATATTGATTCATCCACCTTTGCCAGCTATTTTGATACCGTTACTGCTTCGTCTTGGAAAGAAAACCCTGCTCGCCACTTCCACGTTACATTCTGGCAAACTAAGCACTGGACCTCTTTATCGGCTCGCCACCCATTTCAATAGGTACCAGCTGGATCTCTGCGTTTGCCCCGCCTTGCGAAGTTGGAAGCTCCTGAGGCTTCATATCCTCTTCGACCGCTGTGCGATCGGTAGGCACCCAGTCTGGCTGTATATTCAAGGGATTGTCTGCCTTTGGTCGAACCCAGGTAAGTTGTGGGCGAGGAATCGACCAAATATACCTCTTCAAGCTTCCCCCTCTTCCATTATCACCATCGTTCTGTACGGCCCTCCTCTTTCCAAGCCGGAAACCAATGATCACCATCAATACAAGGATACCATCACCTCCGATACATCCAACTGAGGCTGCGATGATAGTACTTCTTCTATCTAATCCCGAAGAATGCTCGTTGCTCCCTTCCTGGTTTGTGCTGACGGTGGATACAGCATCGTTTGGCCTCATATTCGTAGTCGTCGTCGCCGTCGCCACTGTAATTAAGCCCGTTGTGGCTAGGTCTTGACATTAGTAAAAGATACATTGAGTTATGAAAGGTGACGTACTCACCAATAGTAGGTGGTGGTGTCATATATGCTTGCTTAATTTTGAACGGGAGGCCAAAACTTTCGAGGCAGCCCACCAATGAATGGTCAACCGTTGTTTGTTCAATGTCGCGGTAAACGGAAATCGTCACGCAAGGACCCTTCTCGCTGCTGTTTTGTCAAGAGTGTTCGGTTGCGTTGGGAAGGCATTGATCGTACCAGTTTGCTGGAGCAAGTTGCGTTGTTGAGGGCATCGCGTTACTATTTAGCCAGAAACCAGATACCGTATTGGTAGATATGCACTCAGTAACAATAAGACTCCAAGGGCCATTCATCCAGTAACAAAGAATGCCTCCACCTGGGAGTTCGATTGCCTGGTAAGTAGAAGCATGAGGACAATCAAAAGGCAGCGCTAGTGAACAATTCATTAGTTTAGCCATGAATTCGAAAGTAGGAAAATAAAGATGACTGCATTACCTTCGGTGCCGACCATATAGTAGCCGAGCCTAGAAGGGTTTTTACTTGTAGTTGACATTGTGTCCTAGTCTGTGAGAGCAGGTGGGGAAAGACACAGGAGGAAAATGGGAAAGGGTGCCAACACGAGATATAGGGCAGGAATCTTATTAAATTGCCCGTTAGGCGCCCTATCCTCTCCAGCCCCCCTTTTGCACATTTTTGCGGCTTTTTAGAAGGGTTCTGAGTGGTAGATTGTTTTTCAGCTTGATTTTCTTGGTGGAGGGATGCGATAATCGTTCCGAGGGTGATGTCTTGGCATGGATCAAAATACTGCCTTCTATTACTTTCTCACTACGCCACATTCAGCACACTTTTCCTATTTGACACTTGAATTTCAAATACGCATGAAGTGTTTGAGAAGACATAGAACTATATACCATTGTGATTCGAGGCATCATAGCAGTGAGCAACCAACTTTTGGGGGCTGTCGAGGAGACTAGATTCTGAACCCCTCATATAGTACTCTAAGTGAGGTGTATTAATATACTCATTACATAACTATTCTACCATCTTTATATATAAAGGTGAACTTTGATCATGTATCTATTGTAGATTGAGTTTCTTGTTAAGCGAGATCCTATAGTGAACACCGAGTTTTACTTATGCGAAAGGGACACAGAATATATGGACCCTAGAATCAATAAGTTATGAATATGTTAGTAGCAAATGAACTCTTTCACTATATGTACGAGAGAGGGGCTAGCTAATGAGCCCTCTTATGATAAAGTATTGACTGACTTCCACCTTGCTACTCCGCAAGAGTCTAACTCGCGGCCGTTGCTTTCGCTTTGAAAGATTCATTGAAATAACTTAACCTCGCCAACGAAATTGGACACAGTCAATTACCAGTTTTCACATGTAATTGGTGCAGGGCCGCTCGTAGAGGCGTTTGTAGGGAGTTTGATTTTTGTGAAAAAGCAAGAACAAGATGAGGCCAACATATTCAGAGAGAAGCCGTGGACCATTTCACTCGCAACCGCCACCTTTCAAAGCGAACCGAAATTTAGCCCCTATGGCGGCATTAATGTTGGGATTAGGTGCTAAGACACTATATGTTCCAATAGGAACATAATAACTTATACCAGCTATAAGTAATGTAAGTGGACTAACTATTATAAGGGTATATATAGTAAATAATATATTTAAGGCTGAAGAAACTAATGCTAATATATTATATAGGCTATCCCTTAGGCTAGAGTATTATTAAGTGCTCTAATAATAATATATAAAAAAATGAAATTATATAGGATAGCTAAGGGTGTAATAGCTATAGTGTTTATATATTATATTACCCGCCTAGTAATATTTATATATTCTAGCCTAGAGTATATTTAGATAAGTAATATATTTAAAGGTAGCTTATATTATATTAATAAGCTCCTTATTAGTCTATAGATTTATATTATACTAAGTTCTATCCTAGAAGTATAATTCTATTACCCTAGAAACTTTATTTTACTAAATTAGACTATTATAATATAAAGAGATAAATATAAGTTTAATAAAATTAATTAGTAAAACCTTATTCTATTAGCCTTTAATAAAGTCTATAATTAAAAATATAGGGAGTAACTAGTAGAGTAATAATTAGAACTAAAGGAGGAAAAGGGGGGATAATACTATATTTTTATATTTTATTATACCTAATTATAGGTTAGAGCTATAAGGCTTACTATAAAGGATATAGAGTAAGTTATTAATTATATATAATAAATCCCTACTATCTACTATTATTCTTATTAGTAGCCTTCTTAATTTCTAGATTATATCTACCTCCTTAAAGTTCAGTAGTATATATTAAAACTACCTTAAGGTGATTAGGAATTAATAATATACTTATTACTACTTTATTTAATCGCCCGGTCTATATAAGCTTTAAGGTTTTAAGGGTTTATAGCTCTAATATTAGCTATAGGGAGAGGGTTTCTAATATTCATAATAATCTCACGCAGGGCTTAAGCTAGTATTACTCTATAACTTTACATATTATATATACTAGATAGCAGTATACCCCTAGCCACTATCATAGCGTAGGTCAACGGCATCACTACCTACCTATTCTACCCCGCGCTCCTTAGCTCCCGAACCATACCAACCGCGGTCTTGCTTGCCTCTGCGGCCTCGTTTGCGGCAATCTTTGCATCTCTAGCAGCATCGGTAGTATCTTGCATCGTTTGTTGAATGACTCCTGTGATCTGCTTTAACCCAGCATCTATTCGATTGAGGGATCCGGTTGTGCTTGCGGCTCCGATGGCTATCTAGTTTCAATAATATCCCAACACCTAGAATCTAGACTACAGCTCTATACCTGGCAAGGAATCGCCTAGGGGCCCTGCTATGATTCACCTTCTGTCCATCGAACGCCGTAAAATTAGTGGATTCTGGCGAAAAAGGAGAGCCTGGTTTCGGTTTTCAGAACCGGGTGGTGGCATCCGCGGCTTAGGCCCTACTACCGCCTTCAAAAGCGAACGAATGATATATAACTTGACCCGACTACGGCGGCACAGTTAGTGTAAACATTTACGCTGCACGGTATCGTTTCACGAGCCTATCGCCCTTGCGGCCACGCAGCCATGCGTGAGAAGAAATACTCTAGAGCAATTCTATCCCCGCGCCAGGGCAAGTTTCCATCAATATAGTCCTCAGGCTGATCGTTGGTAGTGCTATATATCATAGCTAATAAGATCATCGGGACCTGTGAGTGTCGACATGTCTTTTAGAAGCCAATCAGTGTCGGACGTATAGACACACTCGTTGGCATTGCAAAAGAGAGATTGAGGCACCTGGAGTGCAAGCGAAGAATTGGCCCTGATTTGAAATTGCCTCAGTTCATTTCGCATGCTCAAGAAGTCGTTATTTCGTTGTAATGATCCGTAGTGGCCTGTGAATGCTACTGGGAGGACTCCCCGGTGCGGTAATTGTGCGGTTCTATGATACATGAAAGGATAGTATATATGCTTGTCAGAAACTGCCTTATCTACAACAATATAGGACTTCTAACACGTGATATCCTAGCTAGTCTAGATGATTCTTACTAAATCACTTCAAATGCTTTAGTATATAGTCGAAGATAACCTGATTAAGCCTTGCGTTAGATCCCATGTGGCAATGCGCGCTCGCACCTTCATCGAAAGATAAGCGTACCCACTCCTTCTCACACTTCAACCGCTTGAACAGTTCTTCAGGCTGTCCCTTGAGAAAGTGGTCATCTGGCGCATCCAACACCAGCATTGGCGTTTTGATCTTGCCCACTATCCCTTCGAGAGTGTAGCCCTCCACAACACGCAGAACATCTGCTCCAGACGACACCCCAAAAGCCCACTTGCTGTTTGAAATTCCCCATTTGAAGCCTGTATCCCAATTCATGTAACGGCGCACAATTGCGTTGAAAGTGCCATCCCAGCCGTTTCTCAACAAGAGCTTCCCAAGTGCAGGCGTTTCCTTGTGAAATGCACTAGCAAAGTCGTACACGCCGTCGTTGACCACAATAGCAGCCGCGCGATGCTCGAACGCGGCAGCCCGAGCAACGAGATAACCCCCCATGCTGACACCTATAATCACGAGCTTATCTTTCTCGGTGTAGGGCTGATCGAGAACGTAGTTGACAACTGGTGTAATCACCTTCTCCCAGTCTGGTCTGAAGCAGAGTCGCTGCTTTCTCAAGGTGTCACCTTGCCCGGGCCCGTCGAAAGTGACGACGTTAAAGCCGAGCTCGAGTGCAACAGGCGCAAATGAGTATCCAATCTCCTCTCTTGTGCTATCAAACCCACCATTGACGATGATGGTCGGCCGAGCCCGGCCGCTTCTATCAGGGCGCATAAGAGTACCTGGTAGGGTAGTATCCTCATACGGTATTTCAATAACCTCTGTAGCGTGCGGCATGAGCTTAGCTGCCGAGTAGAATGTCTGAGAGCTCAAATCTGCAAGCGTCTTTGACAGATCATCTTGGTCGGGGTTCTCACGCAAGAAGAACTCGGCAGTGCGGAAGTAGTTCGAGGCACGCAGAAATGAATCCCTAGCACCGGGCCAATTATTGGATTCGAGGCTAAGCTCTGCATTCGCAACAGCACGGTCACCTGCAGCTCTCCACTCCAGGAGCCAGCGCTTCTCATCACCGGCCGGTACGCGTGAGCAAATCGCAATGACCTCGGAAAGGTCTGCACCACCATTGTTGGCATAGCCGGCAGCCCGTAAAGCCTCAAAGCTGAAGGAAATGTTTGAGTGATAGAAGTGACGCAACGGTGTCGCCATTATTTGTAGAATATAGTGATACGACTTGATAGCTGTGAACTGTGGTGATCTGTAGGCTTTAATATACGTTCAGATACTTTTCACGTTGGCGTAACATTATTCGGGAAAGCTTCCGCCATCGTGGGTCGATGATATCACCAATGCCAACCGTCAGCCCAAAATTCGGGCCGAATTTGACCAGCTGTACCGAAGATTGAACTGGGTGATCCGGTGAAGGAGCCACGTGAACAATCCGGTAGCGATGTTTTTTCTATCAGTGTATAATGCCCGAAGCCTTGTAAATACATGGATATAAAGTATGCGCTATTAGATATTAGATACACGATAGTATGTGTGAATCGCATTATCTACAATGGTTTTAAGTTTAAACTGCTGTCTCCCTCACTTCTCTTTTCCTACCCAGTCTATAAGTCATTGATTCTGATGACGCGATTTCGATTCAGCACCAACAAAATCACGGATATCCTCCTACAAGCCATAAGTGGCCAAGCGGACTCAAGTCCTTCTGATACAATTAATCCACTGCAAAACAAAATATTGCCATCGCGACAACCCCATGTGCAAGCGCCGACTAACATCGGAGTATTGGCCCACGCACCATCATTTAACAATACCCAATCTTCTGACATGGCTTTTACGAATGCTGATTTGAAGCAGCAAGACCCGCAAAATATGAGCAGAACAAAGAAATGGGCTATCACCTGCGTCCTTTCACATGCTAGTCTATGTGTGTATGTGTTCAATTTCCGTTAAGTACAAGCGAAGACCGATTGACTGGTAACGCATCAGAACCTGCTTCAGCTCCATCTACACGACAACATACGAGAAGATGGAAGCTGAATTAGGCAACGATAGAATTCTATCAGTACTAGGCCTATCGACATTTGTCTTGGGTCTTGCTTTTGGCCCTACACTTTTCGGCCCGCTGAGCGAGATATATGGCCGTCGACCGATCTATCTTACGTCATGGGTAGCCTACCTCATTTTTCTTATCCCACCAATAGTGACAGAAAGTATCTTTTCTATTATAGCTTGCCGGTTCCTGAATGGCTTCTTCGGAAGTGCCTTTTTGACGGTTTCGGGAGGAACCATTCGAGATATATTTTCCGGGGAAGAACTACAAACGCCGATGGCTCTTTTCTCCGCCTCACAATTCATGGGTCCTGGTTTAGGTCCTTTACTTGGGGGGTTCATCAACTTTCATTCTGATTGGCGGTGGACCTATTACACAGTTATTATATGGTCCTCTGCCGCAGCACTCATCACGTTCATTAGTGTTCCAGAGACATACTGCAAGTTCCCGTGCAGCCTACTACACTACATGTTACCAGTCACTGACATCGCTCTCGCCCATCAGATCATGTGTTACTAGAAGACAAACGGCAACGACCCCAGAGCAAACCAGACCAGCAAAAGTTGCTATCCCTTTTTAGGCAAGCTGGGAAGTCAACTATCCTAATGCTTAGCTCGTCCCTCCTTCGTCCGGTTCAGCTACTAATCTTCGAGCCTATGTGTCTTTGCCTCTGCACCTTCTCGGCTATTTTACTTGGGATCCTCTATCTCTTTTTTGGATCGATCCCTCTTGTTCTTGGTATAACTTACCAGTTCAGTCTCTACCAAACTGGACTTGCTTTTCTGGGCCTCATGGTCGGAATGTTAATGGCGGTGACAACGAACCCGCTGTGGCAGCGTATACGGTCTAGGCTTATTCATAAATACGGTGACGAACTTGGAATGAACGTGGATAATGAGCCTGAATTTTGGCTCCCTCCTGCTATTGCTGGTGCTTTTCTAGTACCTTGTGGGATTTTCATTTTCGGTTGGACATCCCAGCCATCAATACATTGGATTGTACCCATAATAGGTATCGCAACGTTCGGCTCTGGGTAAGTTCGATCGGTACCCTGCCCTAAATTCTTCCCAATCTCCTGTGCTTTGGTGATAAGTCTTTCGAGCAGTGAGCGTCTGGAGCAAGAGTCAGATTGTTAACTCCAAGATCAGAAATGTACTGGTTTTCACCGGGATTTGGACATTCTTAGTAGGTGTATAATCCTACAGGCATCTGCAAGATATATTATGCAAAATTATGTTAACTTTGCACACTTAAAAGGTCGATGCATATCCGCAGTATGCGGCAAGCGCCCTTGCCGCTAACACTCTTTTGCGCTGTATCTTTGCTGGTGAGCAACTCTCCTGTTCGCGTGGTTAATCACCCCGTCATGCCAATAACTAGCTGTTTCTTTCAGAGCTAACCTTGTCCTTCCATTAATAGCCGCGTTCCCTTTATTTGGAAATCAAATGTATGAGCGACTCGGCTACCAGTGGGCGTCATCGCTACTTGGGTTTCTTACAGTCGCTATGCTGCCAGCTCCGATCATATTTTTTATGTATGGGGCGCGTATCCGAAAGAAAAGCCGCTTTTCGGCCTGAATTAGACATTGTTATCATCTAGACGAGAGAGGATATATTGCAAAGGTCTACCTAAAGAGACTTTCTTATACTAGATTTTGATTAATAAATAACGGTGATTTTTCTATTCACTTATCAGCTTAGGCTTTGAGCTTAGCACGCATGGCTGAAGGATATCTCCCGGCTTCTCTTAATACCCAGGAATTTCTTAACAGCTTCTCGAGTAGATTAAAGCTGACGTTGCATGAAGTTAAGAGCTTTTCATAGGTTGCCAAACATGATGACCTAGATCGAGCCGCCCACGAGCTAGGAAATCATGCTACAGGTAGCTGAAGTATTAGAAGCTTTCTCAGTTCGCAAGTCTAGGCTATAATGTATTTAGGAAAATTTGGATATAAGCGACGCAAGCAGGCACAAAAGAAAATGATGACTTACCGAGGCGCCGTAACCGGCTCAACCAGCGACTTCATATTGTCGGTTACATTGCCCACGGCTGCACGTAATACAATAGGTGTTATTGGACCTATCACCACAACACGATTTTTGACGCCTAGACCCAACAACATTACAAGGATAATACTAGCCCTCCATCACTACTCCGTCGCCAAGCATGAAGCGACGGAGATATTAATAACTAGCTAAACGCGCCACAACCCTGTCGAAACAAGCTCAACAGCTCAGAACCAGCGGACTCATCAATCCCAGCTCCCGCCAAAGTCAGCCCGTACCATCCATCGCCCAGGGTGATATCCATCTCGTCTATCAATAGGCTACTTGATATTATCTCTCCTTCCTCTTGTACCTCTTGCCAACAACGACGACCTGGAAAGGACCCATCCTCATCCTCGAAGCCATCCCTCATAGCACTCACCACAACCTCATCCTCAGTGGGGAGCTTTGGGTGCCCATTGGTAGACTCGTCGGGTTGGATGGATCCTGCTGATACTGTGTGCGGAAGCTCCTCTGTAAGACCCGTCGACGGTTGACCTGGGTGACTATTAGAGATCCGACGAGCCATGGTATATAGCAGTGGGGAAATAGACAACATACATATTATTGAATTAGTCTGGCACGATGAATTACCACTTGTGAAGCGGCTTCGTCGTAAGGCTGCATCTAATTTTTCGCACTGCAATATTGTATTAATCCACTGGCCCCACATTGAGTGTATGATAGATATCAAGACTTACAGGTTCTTTCAAGGCTATCCAATAAGTCTTCAGAGCCTCAAGTAGGCGTAGGATTGCCCGTACAGCTTTCATTCTGCGACTCTCTCTGCACTCACCAGCCCGAGTTTCGTTCCCTGGTCGACGGTTTAAGTAGAGTTCTTGGGATAGAAACACTATGCCTACAATGAAAGCACCATAAGCAACGAGTGGAGGTAGACAAGAAAGATCGCTGGAGGCATAGAGATAAGGCCTCAAAAGGGTTTCAAACAGGTCTGCGTGGCAAAGTACTGTCTCAGTAGACCTCCTTTGCACGTCGGCTTGGATTTGCTGTTCAGTACGGACTCCCGAGAATAGAGGAACAATCATTGAGTGTAAGGTAATCTGGATTTGATGATAAATAGCGTCATGAACCAGAAAAGTCATCTGCGATTTAGGTGGACTACATTCCTGGCTTGCAGAGGCTCTGGCAGCCAATGCGCTCTGATATAGCGACGTTGCCAAAGAGGATAGATCATGTATTGATTTGACGGTGGTAGCGTCCATAACAAGTCGATTTTTGCATAGAAGCTGTGCTTTCGCCCTGGAAAAAGAAGCAAAATTAGGCGTGGGGATCAGGTCAGCTAGAGTAAGGGGAATTCTCATACCAAACACCAATGACTTGAATCAGCATGCCTTCTGCAGCTGGAGGATAACTTTCCCCGGCGGATGACCGCACCGGAAGCGACCCCCAATTTTCGTCCATCATTTCGTTAAAGCATACCCTACGAAGCGATGAAGCAGCAAGTGGGCACGGGAGTGGCAACATGGCAGCTTCTTTCCAGGCTGACTCGATGAATGGTGCTGGCTCCATGACAATGCACGTCGACATCCAGCAAGCCCAGAAGGCGCGCCGACCGAGCTCATTCTCGACGGAGTTGCTGGGACAATCACTCGAAGTTGCACATTTTTTATCAAAGCCAAGCATTTGAGATGACCGATATGCAAGCGCTATACTTCCGTTAGAGAGTTTTCAGTAGCAACACCGACCTCAGGTCATATTTTCTGGTGTTTGCAAAAGCTCACATAAACATAAATTCCCCTCTCGCGATCGTCCAATACCAAACCAGTACAGTTGCAAACACTGTAGCGCTTGGACTACCATAACAGATGGGGATTCCATAACTAGAACCATGGCGTCCGTAGAAGCAGCCTTTGCCCAGGGCAGTCCGTACGATTGATACATGCTCAGAACGTTAAGCTCGGGACTTATGCCCCCGACCCGCTCGGGCTCATTTTGAATGGGATGGAGAAAGCTCGGGCTCTGTCAGCAGAAGCGCCTGTAAGAATTTAGGGATCATACGCATCTTACAGAGTTGCTAATGCGAATAGTGCCTTAAGGAGCGTGTCGTGCACTTTGCCATCGAGATATTCCTGGAATAGAAGGGGCTTGTAAAATAAAAGAGACGCATTGTATATGCGCGAGAAGTAGATTTCCAAAAGGGCAAGACCAAGAGAGATTGGTGGTAATGGCTGCTGATCCTCAGCAGATGTCGAATTTGGAACTGTTTTATGTATCCTTTGTAGCTCGGTTGGATACGACTGACAAACGTGTCAACAAGGAGAGGAAGCATAGGGTTGGGGGGTGTGCCACCGCGCTTACATTTAAAAGCACAACGGCTTCATTCAATGACTCATGACTAGCGCGCGATGTTTGAGGATCGCTTATGGCTGTTGCATTCTCCCCGGTCTCTAGAGGAGGAGGAGAAGATCGCGAAGCAGGACTTTCAATGACGGGGTGTGCATCTAGAAGCCGAACCCCGATAGTGGAAATCTCCTCCTGTGATAAACTTTCATGGCAGTCATGCTCGATGGCAATGTGCGTAGAATAATCGGCACCCTGACCGCGACTGGCAGCTAGACCTGCCCGTCGGCGATTCTTTCTTCGGCCTCGGCGATTTGGAGGGTCGGGATATAGACAAGTTGCTCCGCGTCGACAACAGCGAGTGCAAATGGGCTGCTCTTTCCCGCATTTCAGCTACAGTGGCATTAATCGTTGATGTTGTGTGGTTACTAGAGGCTTGACTACCTTCTGTTCACGACATCTCAAACATGCCGTGACGGACAGAACCGAAGATCTGCGACGTTCATGACCGCTATCTCCTTGACTATCCCCACACTGCATGTCAGCGATCCTTGATAGGAATAAGGGCAGGCATGGAACGGTGCGCTGTTCAGGTTCGGAGGTGTTCTGTTTGGTACACGAAAATGGATCAGTATTTTCGCTTCAAATCCAGTCGTTGGATTTAAGGTGTAGGCAGGTCAAGCACCGAGCTTGTGATTCTGGTTCGGGCCGAGTCACGTGTTAGCTACCAAGTTAAAAATATCTACGGGGTGTTTCATTCAGGTGTTCGGCCCGATCGTGGTACATGTGACTAAGATACCTCGCGATCATTGCAAGCAGCGCTGAGTCAGGGTACGAGGTCCCGGCGGCGGGGATTGCTGTTCCGGATACTACCGAGCAAGCACAGCCCACAGCGTCGAGATAATAAGCGATTTTGAGGTACATATACGCAAGTGGCGCAGAATGGTGGTTTCCCGGTGGACTTGGGCGTGGTGTACAATCTGTTCTCAGGCCAGCGTAGAAGCCCCCATGAAGGCATTGATAGCCTGGCTCTCGAGATTACAAGCCTCTTCTTACAAAGCCAGGACACAGTCACCCTGTTCCCCATTAATCATCTGCCTAGACTTTCTTCGCAACCTTACTATACTTTGTGCCTTCGTATCTCGCTTCTGGCACCCGATAGCAGCAGAAGCAATAAGACGCGATGCTATCTACACACACCCGCAGACACACTAGCTCCAGCGTAATAGGTCTGTACAGGCTCTCCTTAGGCTACTAAAGTATAGCATAGCACTAGTGATTTTTTTTTTGGCGATATTGGAGGCTAACCCCACTAAAAAAAAGTATTGGTATGCATTTCAGGTCGCTTAAACTCGCAACTGTTTTGTGTGCGAATTGAATTGCATCGGACTTTGGACGGCAACCAATGTTTAACCTTTGTCACAAGAAATGTAGAGAAGCAGCAGGTGTATTCGATCTTCTGTCCTCTGTGTCAGCGACTGACATTAGGAATGATTCTGGAAGGGCAGATTTATTCCTTATGCATTGCTTCTGCCACCTTTATCTTATGTATATATAGAAATTCTTTAGTATTTGGATCTTTGCATCGCTTAAGCCATATTTGATCTATTTCCATCACAACTAGCTTAATGAAGCCCGAATCTACCCTGATCTTGGCAATGGACAACATTGGCAACACGAGATAACATTATAAATTACAGATATTTTCCGACCCCCAGATACGCCATACACTTCCTGCATTTACTGTTGCCCCGTTTCCACCTCATGGTTATATAAAATAGGAATAATTGCCTCAGATCTTCCCGTCTCCTCGATATTATGAGTAACCCAATGCTCTGCAGTGGTCTTAGAATATAAGAAAGGGAGCAAAATCCAGTTGAAAAGCCACCCAAGGACAGGGACGTTTAACCCAACGATAGTCTCGGCGTAAAATCGAGCGCCATCGCCTTCTGCAGAGTAGTGGTGATTGATCCGTACGCCCGTGAGACCAAATGTTTTAACTGTAAAGTTGAATTCTTCATCGTCGAGACGTTCCGTGTAAACTTCCACCTTGATTCTCTCGTGATGGTCGTTGAAATGTTCGGTGATGCGGGATTTTTAATGAGTCGCGAAGCCTTTGTTGTGTTTGCCTGTAAGAGGAACCACAGAGACGTGATCACGGTGGTGCCACAGGTGGTAAAAAGAAATTTCAGGCCCTTGAAACCCGATGCCATCCCAAGTGGTTTGTTGTCCCAGGTGCTCGAACCACCAGCGAATCATTTGAGGAGTACATCCACGGACAGTATCGTGCTCAATACGCACAGCAATTTTTCCCGTCCAGGTTCGCTCGATGTCTACCCATTTTGCCGATGAGACAGGCTTGAAATCGAGTTTGCCAGCTCGTTCGAGAGCCTTCCGAGCTCTCAGGCGTGCTTCGCGGAGGGCGCTTTTGTTCATGAAGGAAGATACCCGGGCGTAGATGAAATGCAACACTTTACAAAACGAGAGAGCTGACCTTTTGTCTTCCACTCAAGCCAAAGATCTGAATTTATAGTCTCATAACATCTCCGCGCCACCATCGGTCCGACTAGTACTACACCGAATCGACTGTGCCTAGCTAGACTGAAACAACCATGCGGGGGGTTAGGAAATATAACTATCTCTACTGGAGCCTCGGTCTTAACCCGCCTCTGTTAGAAATTACTAATAATATATAGAGCAGTATATAGTATAGGCTCTAGGGTAAGAGGTATAATATAAGTTAGTATAGCTAATTTTTAAATAAATATATTCTAAATACTCTCCTAACCTTACTAATTATATCTTTATATAGATAGATTATTATTAAGTTATACTAAAAGTTATAACTCCTTATTCTATATATAACCTTAAACTTATAAGTTTTAAATAAACTTATTTTAAATATCTTTCTATATAATCCTAATTTATATTTATTACTTAACTAAATATAGTAATTTAATAACTATATTACTTAATCTTTTAAATAAATTTATTTTAAATATTATTAATTATATTTACTTACTTAATATAAAATATTATAGTAGTAATTATAATTATAATTTATATAATATAATTTATTAATATATATATTAAACTAATATATATATTACTTTTCTTAGCTTTATTATTAATAAGTTTTATAATTTTTATCTTAAAACTTTATATTTTCTATAAATATTTTTTATATTATTATTAATTATATATTAATATAGCTAAAAAAGAATTCTATTAAAATTAGCTTATATATATTAAGCTATATAATTTAATAAGTAATCGCGGACATGCTACTTCCCCCTCCGGTTTGGCGGCCTCCCCTAAACGGGCAAGGCACGCCCGCTGCCGCATCACTGTCAGCGTGATCATGTGACTCCTTCTATATAATATGACTCCCACCCTCGACGCTGTGTAGATGTATCTTTGATATTTCTTCTCTCCCACCGCTCCGCCCTTGCCTTATATCTCCTCCGCCTCTCCTGTAATTTCCCTTCTCCTGACTTGATGACGCTTTAGCTGCTGGCCTGTTGGAATGGCTACGCCCTTCCCCCTTGGCATCTAGAGGAGGTGGTCTCTATACTCGATGGCAGACTGTGCGAAGTAGAGTGAGGCGCTTGAAGAGGAGATCAAAGTTCACCGTTTTTTTATCTTCTTTCGAGCCATTCCAGTTATTTTCTACCTTCTTTATAGCTTTCGTCTCTCTTCTATTATCACAGGGTGCTTATGATGCCTAATATTCTAACGGCGCATCTTTAAGCATCTGTTTTATGGCGCGACAAGGGCTTCAAGCAACGTATCTCGCCGCGGTATTTCTTCCTGTGAGGCCTCCGATAAATAACTAGCTAATGGCAGAAATACTGCAGTGGCTTATTATAACCCCTGACGCATGATGATGGAGTGGACGGGGTCTGAGTTATCGCCCTGCTCGAGGGCTGCTAGGGCATTAGCAGCGGCAAAGTCGTGAGGGTGTCATGAGGATGGTCTCTTCTGGCATGGCGCAGGGCCTCGCTTCCGCATTGTGCTGACCGATATGTCACTGCTGCACAGTCAGCCGCCGTTCTGCCGCAAGATGAGGGCGGCTGATTAGAAAGGGGTGAGGAGTCCTGGTCAGCTCTCCACGGCTGGCGGCCTTATCCCCTGACCCAGCTAGTAGCAGAAATGCCGTAATGCTCACTAATAGCTCCAATGGTATGATGGAGTACGGTGCTATCTCGGGCTGATTGTCGAATACCTAGCGTAGTTGTTCCAGGGGGCATCTGGGATAAAGAGGCCACCGATTAGCTCGTAGAGAGTGGGCGGAGATCGCGATGTAAGAAACTATGACGCGGCTGGTCGCCATCTCCCTACTTAGGGGGCGGCAAACACACCCACTGCTGAGAAATCCTCCCTCGATCACTACCTGCTCTTTCTGGGCTTGACCGCTCCTGTGCCTCTCGTAACGACTTAATAGCTGCGATAACGTGAGAGGCCAGCATGATTAGTTAATGCAAAGCTAACTCGGTTAAACGAATATGGCGTAAAGCTTGTGCTCCCCCTGTTAAGCTGAGTTGTCCTATGCTATTAGGCGGCCACTCGTTAGTTAAAACGCAGGATGGACTAATATAAGAGAAGGGCAACGAGCCTTGAACTAGCTCTACACAGTCGGCCGCCTGCTCATCGGTGTAAGCGTAAGGTAGCATATATCAGAGATAAGGATCGGTGCCCAAGGGAGAAAGGGTTAGCGAGTTCGCATCATGTTGGTCACAGTAGGCAGCGCCGAGGTTGAGATACTCCGCCACTATACGTGGGATGTGGCCAAGCAACTTCATGGTTGACGGGTATGGTGGGGTATGTGTATCTCGGACACGAACTATTGTAAAGGTCCGAGAGCATATTTGTGCGAAGATGAGAATTAGGGCAAGGGAAGGGGGGGAGGTGTGTGATTGGGGGTAATCCTAGTATCTTTTGCCTATATAAGGCGCCTGACGCCCTTAGTAAACGAGAGTCCTGAGGGCAATTGGATAAAACCGTCCTCCTTATATAATGGGACCCTTTGTGAATCTTAATAATATGGTTACCTGGACTCCTCTAGCTGTTCCTGGTTTGGAGTATGCTGATCACGTGAAACAGTAGAAATCCAGCTCCTCCCCAGAAATCTCCTTTCCCTTACCTCCTGCGTTGGCTCCCTGCGATTAAATATCTCATGAACTAATCTGTATTTTGTCTGATGATGAGAGTACATTTGATGCAGATGAAGAAGCGACTTGCGATGGCTCTCGGGATATGGATGACTCGAGATCAGATGATACTCTTCCGTCGATCGACATAATCTTTGCATCTATTAAGAAGAGCTCATCTGTTCTGTCACCTATGAGTAAGTGTTGTTGAGGTATGCCTTTTATAAAAGCGTTCGAACGTGGCTAACCATCCTGTGCAGGATCTCCTAATGATGCTAACTAGCCACAGCCACTTGATCTAGGTGTGAGTCGGCTAAGCCAGGAGGCTGTAACAGGTCCGGATGTCTTGCTTTCCCGCACACCGACGAGCACGCAAGCCAGGAGTGACATGCTTGGCCATTCGTCGGGTAGCCCCGGCTATACTGGGCTGGTTACTAAAGGTGATGCTGTTATACCAGGCCACCTTCCGGTGACGCTGGAGGCGTCCTGTTCTGAGAGCTGTGAGGCTTCTAATGCTGTAGCTATTCTGCCTTAGAATGGGATGGAGCAGACACGAGATGATTCATAGAGTATACTGGGAAGCTGTTTGGAGTGTCGCTCCGATTCTTAGTCTAGCTCCGACTCCGACGGCGCTATGCGGCAGCATAGGGAGGACAGTCTCGTACCATTCACTTCACTATTGTTGGACATCCGCGAAAAAGAGGAAGCGTACGGCGACATAGAGGACGCTATCGATGATGACGTTAGTCGGCTCCTAACCGGGCAGCTTCACTGTAAGGGGACACATAAGGATGGCTTTGCCCCTGAGTAAGACCTAGCCTCCCACTGCGATTCTGATTCTGATGTCAGCTTAAGCTCTGGCTCTGATGCTGCTATACACGATGATGAGGACTATTGCCCCTCTCCTTGCTGTGGTGAATGGGAACAGGCAAGTAATAATTCTGTCGATGATGAAGCGGACAGGTCCGATCCTCCCCTTCCATGCAAACGTCGGAAATTGGGCAGGTCTTAGTCTAGTCCTAGGCCATATCGCCGTAGCAAACGTCTCACTAACCCTACACAAATAGTTAATCCATCGGGACTGCGCACGCTAGTTCGTAGTGCGAGTTCAGTGTTATCGTAGAGCTTATTTACCGCAGCTGATGAGGAAATGCCAGCTGCAAGATATGAGGAATGGTCTTTGCAAGGGGCTACGCTTAAACGCTTGGCTGTGAATGGTAAAGTGACCTTTCAACTGGAGTTTAGCTGGGATTCGTGTGTCGGTGGCCATGCACTGGGCTCATATAGCGGCAATAAATTCTAAACTTAAGTAGCGAAGAGGTTATACTAAATATAGTGAAGCCTGACTAGTTATGGTTTCACTTGTGAGGAGGATGATCTTATTGTTAAATTGAAGGAAGAGTAGTAGCTTTATTAGCTAGAAATCTACGAAAAATTCAGTGATAAATTTCCATAACGACGATCTCAGGGAAGCCTTTAGGTTCGTTACTGTATAAAGCTGAAAAGTGGCAAATAGGCTGGGAGGAAGTCTAGGTAGGGTTAGGCTACGAGATAAGTTTTGCATAACGAATCATCTAAGGCCTATTAAATATTATAGTCTAGGTAGGGTGGGGGTTTTACCTGGAGAATGAATTTAACCCCTATTAAATGTTCGTTAAAGTAGATGGTATATTTGTGATGCTAAATTCTAGTTATTAAGATAGCCTGTGATCTGTATGTTTCACGCAATGGTATTATATGTAGGCATTAGGCTAAAAATAATAACCGATATATGGCGTATTTCCTCACTATATCGCCTTTGTGGGACTATAGGTTAATGCAAAGATCCCTTGTTATCGGTAGTTTTACCCGAGAAAGTCATTTGCCCTTGAGTATTGCGTGTTAGGACTAAGCATGGATTGACTCTGCTAATGGAGAGTAGTAGATCGCATATTTCTAGATCGCTGAGGCGAATAGTTATGTGAAGAGATTCTTATTGCTCGTCCTGAGAACTATAATCTTGAATAATCCCAGTATGCGAAAGTAATATTCTCGCCGACTCAAGCCGATCTTGCTATAAAGCGATAAATAGGCGCAACTGACCTTCTTGGTTAAGCTGGTCTATTGCATCGGCTGGTCTAGTGCTCGCGCGTGTGGGAGATACCCCTGTCTTTGTATGTCGCCTGAAATGTAGAATAGGCGTTCGATCGACGGGAATAGATATCGGACGGAGGCAGGAGTGATATGCAGAGGATGGAGCTTTTAGTGAGAAGATCATGTGAGTAATTGGCAGGCTAATGAGAGATGAACTTCAGAGGACTTCGAGCCTTCGATGATTGGCTAAGAGTTGCCGCTCAGTGGTCAACAGATAACTGAATGGCGCTATAGGGTATGTAGCTACTGGAAATGCAGGGTTGTGTTAGTGCCTAACTTCCAAAATTGTGCCTACTCTCCTCATCACCTTTTGTTTTCACCCGCCAGCGCTCTATAAAGAAAATACTTTTTTGAGTAGTTACCTGAGTAATTCTCCTCCGACTTACTGTTAATGTTTGCACTCTCCCTATCTTATGTAATACCCTACGGTAGATTACGCATCCGTGTACCGCTCGCCTTTATATAGGCGAGTTTTTAGTATATATGAAAACATCCTCTTACATAAGAAGAAAGCTATACGCTGTGTTATTTAGTAATATAGCCTAGCTGTTTTCCCTTTCTCTACTGAGAAACTAGCTAATATTATCCATTATCTACTATAGGAAAGCATATTAAGCCGTAACGCTAAAGCTAGGTCTAGGTTTCCATAATTTGGTCCACCGCTTATATTCCCTCCGGTGACTCCCTCCTTACTAAGTTAAGTATCCTCTAGTATAGTAGATTTAATGGACTCACTAAATAAGTAACTTAGCTATCTATCCCCTAGCTTCTTTATATTTCTAACTTAGGATAAGGGCGCTATCGACGGGTATATACTCTGACCTTAAACTTATATCCGCTAAAAAGACCTATGCTGCACACCACGTTATTATCTGCCTTCGGTCTTCTGTTATTTCCAAGTCTTGCGATTTTAAGGATGTCTATGCTATTAGGGATGATTCAGGCATCTGCAGGAAGGTTGAACCCCTCGCCTTTAACTTTCTGGACGACGACCCGTAGTTAGTTAACTATGTTATTCAGTATTTCTATGGGTTAGATTATAAAAGGCCTGACTCCATGTTTAGACTAACTGCCGGCACTGAAGAAATATAGAGCGGCGAGACTACTGAGCTGATAGATATCGCTAACTCCGATGACGCTGACTTAGTGCTATATATTAAAGTATATGCACTTGTAGAGAAATATAATATACCTCCTCTTAAGGAATTATTATTAAGTAAATTCGAAGAATCACTCTGGAAATATTGGAAATTTAATCACTTTTTAAATGCTGCACGAGAAGCGTATACGTTAACTATGTAGGAAGATAAAGGGATGTGAACTGCTGTTGTTAAAACATTTTATGCTCATGAAGAATTACTAGATGAAGAGCATATGTGGGAGTTACTCTAGGAACTGCCGTAGTTGATATACGATGTACTGATCTATTATTATAAACTACGTAAGGATATATCATTCAGGTGATCATATAACTTTAAGTTAGTTGGATGCTGGCGGGCTGTCATTATAAAAGAATCGCTCTTTGTTCTTATATGGATGACAGATTGTGTCCCGCAATTTATAGCTTTCATCAACGATTTCATCCTTTAGTACTGGTACTTTCGGGCCCTTAGGAAATTCTGGACAGCCACAGCGAGGCGGATCTAATGCATAAGAAGCCTGGTGGTGTAGGCTATTTCTGGAGATTTCGTCAATTATCTCCCTGTGCCACTGAGAATACGTAGTTGCCCTGTCTATGTGTGCTATAATCTTTTTAATATTTATCTGACTACCGTATTCCATCCATTTGCCTACTATAAATCTCTAAGTAGACCTTCCCTGAAGTTTGAATTAAGAATGATGGGTTAAGGTTGCTAAGGATATCTAGAAGCACTAATGGTAATTCGACTTAGGTTTAAGAAGATGGCTTAGATCTATTTTTGGGCGGGTAGTATAAGGACTCGCTGAAGCTGTGGGTCAACCCGGGAGCCTAAATAGGCACCACTTTTATCAAGAGTGGCCGCCAGCTCGTCGCCGATGTGATGAGGGAGCGGCTGGGGCCTCTACGTAGTGCACTATATGAATTGCATGCGCTCGGCTTTACGCACAACGACGTCACGCTAGCTAACCTCAGCTGGACAATAATGACGGATTTGGCGCTAAGTTATGTGATAAGCCGAGGCGTAAAGTTGGGGGCCACACGCCATGACCGTTGCTACTGATCATATGATGTACTTAAGCGGCGACTATGGGACGCACGCGCCTATAAGAAGGTTTCATACTCGCAAAAACATTATTAATAGCGAGAACGAAATTTTCGAAAGAGCAGCCCCTTATGGCACTAATATTATCCCGCTCGCGGCCGTGATGGCCCCTACGAATTAAATTATCCCCCTAATAGTTTAAATACTGTAGGTCATCCATCCGGCCGCTGAGCGGGTACGGAATGTGAAACACTATGAGTAAGCTACGATCACATAACGTACTGATGGATGGTATCAGCGATATTGGGTGTAAAATTATTCACGAGATGTAATGACTGAGCCTAAACGTCCTAATATCACTGCTATGATTAATATTACAGATTTAGATAGGACTTGGTCTATCCCATTGCACTGATAATGTTTTGCAACGTCCTGTAACGATGAGCTCTCGGATAGAACGGCATTATCTCCTGCACATAGATAAAGCACCAGATATTCGGCATGCCGCGATTCGATGCTATATAATACTATAGCTCTAGATAGACTTGCCTCCTGTCGCCTTATCCTGGTGAAGAAGGCCTGGTGAACCTTCGATACTCGACTAAGTCTGCGAGATCTAGCGATGGTATTGTGATGTATGCCTGATGGGCTGCAATATTGAGAACTCACGGTGCTATCTAGTAGCTAGTCATCACTCAAAGCGATCGCACGGTCACGGTAATAATCCGGTTAGATCACTATTCGACAGATCTACGAGCACATCGAACGACTAGGGAAAGGAAGCAATAGGGTCAGGATGATTTAGATACCATCCCGGGACGATGAACTCACTATCGGCCGTAGGGCGAAGTAAGCGTAGAGGGCAACCGGAGCAGAAAGCATACTATAATCGCTGCTATACTAGGCCCGCTCCACTTAGATCAGGCTAGCAGCGGCGTAACTGCACTAGCAACGAAGCTTACCCGACAAAGTGGGCGGCTACTTTAAGCGAGTTAACCGAGCCCTGCTGGGCAAGCATACGACAATCAAAGAAATAAGAGGCTAAGGTGCTCTCACAGCTTCGTACAGGAATGGCGAGGATCAACAGCTACCTGAGCAAGATAGAAGGCGCGGAGTCAGAGATATGTAAGTGCGCGCTAGAAATGATGTAACACTTCCTATTCTGATGCTTGAGATGGGATACTTAGCGTAAAGTTATGTGGCGAATAGGATAAAGGATGATGGGAAACCTTTCCTTCTTCCTAGGTGGGAAGTCGGCGCCGGATGGGCCTAAATAGGCACCTAACCTAGAGGCGGCGTAAGCGGCAGTTAGGTTTGCAATAACGACGGGAGGACTGAGGTGAAGAAGGGACGCTAGCTACTAACATTAAACAGCCTCGAGTTAATAGACTATGCTTCAGCTGCTGGAGATAGAATGCTGAGCACTTGGAGCAATGGACCTTTAAGCTGGCCTGCTAAGCAGAGTCAAGCAAGCGAGGCTGGAAAAGAGGAGCTGGCAAGAAGAGTGGGGCTTTATTGGGTGATCTAGACGAAAAGCGGGGAAGCGTATATAGCTTAGCTTAGCCACTAGCTTATGAGATTCGTTCTCCTGGGCGTAATAAATACATAATAATAATACTGCCCTGATGATACTGCTAAGCTTTCCCACCTTAAATAACGCCGCTATACATTCCTTTACAGCGGTAAATAAGATAAGAAGTAAATTATCTTCCGAGCACTGTTTGATAATATGAATATAATGCTTTTTGTCTATTTTCTCTTTTCTAGAACCCCTGAATGCGTGGATAGCCCATAGCCCCCGAATTCGTGGACAACTGAAACGTTCCTTGGTTAGTATGGATAAGAACTATGGGAAGAGAAAATGAAAAGTGATCAGCGGGTGGATAATACCTAGCGAGTTAGGATCAGGTGGTATGTGAGATATAGGTATTAGTATTTCTGATACGCTATTAGAAAGGCTGGGTCTACCCTACCTTCATAGTACCTGTAAGACTGATGTGTAGAAAGACCTACTGTGAAATATAAAATGGCCTTGAGATTCTGCCTTAAACTTAATGTTAAATTAAATAAGCTAGAAGAATTAATACACTCTTCTAATATATTTTCCGCCTTTTGTGAGTTAGCTTCTATAGAGTAGGAGTTACTTTTAATACTAAACGTGCTAACGGCACCAGCCAGCGAATAGTCATGCACTCATTAGGAAGAGAAGGTAGTTGCAAAGTTTGTGGTCACTATAATGATGTGCACCGCTCGGAGAAATGCGGTGCACGTGGGTGTCGCAAAAAGATCAAAGTTTGCACCTGTGGTGCCTACTTAGTTGTGTATGGTGATGGATCCACCGACTAAAATATGGCAGGCTATGTTGTCTGTAAACTATGTCCTGATTATGGGAGGCGAGGCAAGGACTTTGATTTCTCTAGTAGCCCTGTTATTGGGCGCTATAACGAGCACTATGTGTATATAGTATAGGAAGGAGCGTCCTTAGAATAAGTGCGCCACTATTATAATGTTACCCTAAGTAACTTGTACCTAGCCATAATAAAAACTCCCCGCCTGCTACTTTGAACTCCATAGCTCCTATCATCTTTTAACTCCAGAAACATCTCAATCCCGATATTATGGATGATCCCCTTCGTCCGAGCGATGAAGCATTTAAGCAATATTATGAAAGAGGCTATGCCATATGGTATACATATTACTAATAGGCACTTTTGTCTGCTTAATATGCGCCTCACCTAGACCTAGGATATGCTATCTCCCAACATCCTCGCTTTCCCTCTTGGATAGAGCTTGATCAGGAAAATTCAAGGTTCTTGAATGTCACTGGATACTCTATATGGGGTACGATTATTGACGGGAGCTGTCCTCTTGCCCCCTTTAAAAGCAAGTACATATTCCAGATCTCTACAAATCGGCCCACAGTTATAAGTCTCGCTCTAGAGCCCAGGTTTAGCTTTACGAAATGGTTTAGGAATAAAGATAATTATCTTATCCTCCTCACCCTCGCCTGGGCGTATGTCTTCTCTGCACGCTGGGCTGAAATCGTATCTGGCGCTAGTGTTAATTACACTAAAAATCAAGCTTCATACAGGGGAGGTACTGGCCCTCTCCCTACAGAGTCATTACTGGTTGATCTTGGCAATATATCGAGTGATGCGCTTAGGTGGTGGGCTGTGGTTCTTTCTCTAGGAGAGGGCTAGGATGCTGTTGCTGTCAGCTATAACAGACGGTTTAAATCACCATGGTCTACTGCATATTAATCGAGTAGACACTTTATTCTCTACACTTAAAATACCCTTAATTTGTTTTCTAGCACCCCGGTATCTTTCTCTAATGCAATAAAGTTTATATCTAATTATATGGCTTATTATAATATTGCTTAATAAAGCCACGCGGCCTTTATAGCGGCCCTTATACTTCTAATATCATAGGTCATAAAGAAGTAGGTTCTCTTACCTATACCTTAGCTTTCTATAGCAGCCAAACCTGTACCACTATCTTATCACCAAAATGAGTCTTAGCCTTAGGGCAAGGACGAAGCTCAACTAGATAGGCTACTTACACTGAGCTGTAATGCCTAAGGAGTTATCGCACTACTTAGTAGCACATTCATTGAGCTATTTATTCCATGTAATGCATGTGGTGCATGGATATAAGGAGCATTTGCAGTGCTTATGCTTTCAGATGCACAGGACCCTTATATTCTACTCTATATGCTAATTAATTGGTCCCCTTAGCTAAGCTTTCTCTGGTTTGGTGGCTTACTAACCGGTATCTAGGATTTAATAATGAAGCAGGCTCGCGCAGCTCTCTTTAGAATTGACCTTTAGGTTGCAGCTTGGATAAATACTTTAATATTATTTATATAATTACCTCTAATACTGCCTATTCCTGTTCTAACTGAAATCAGTCGTTCAGACGAGGCTCGGCTAATATTCTTATCCTAAGCGGATTTCTATGAGCTTCCCCTAATTGTTCCCTTCGAGCCATTTGGGAAAATAGCTGTTAAAGACTGTCTTCTTAAAGTACAAATTCACACAAAGTGTAGGAGCTCTTATGGGTTATACCTTGCTAGCTGGGCTTGGAACCACGAGAATACCACTAATAATAGTACTCCGGCAATGCCTATGAAGTAGGCAATATCACTTGATACGCCTGTTGATAATATTACTATTAATTTCAATAACTTAGACCGTGAGAAAGATTGTTCGGAGATAGTTACCTAGTCTATATTTCTATGGCTCCGTGGAGAAGATGGATATCCCCCTACTGAGAGAGAGATATATAAGTATGAATGGATTGATGGATGGGAGTCTGATGATGAGGACGCACCGCTAGAGGGAGATAGAAGATTATCTCAGCATAATTAAGTAAGGTCATGGTTACTCAGTATGACCAAGCGATAGCCTAGCGTATGAGAGAATTTCAACTATATAGATCAAGAGGATAACTATAATTGATATTTGATATCGTCTAAACGATAAAACGGGTTTAGTTTATTAAGAGCTAGTAAAGGTGATGAGGTAATAGCACCTAAAACTTTTTACCCTGAGTTTAGAGCAAGTCACTGATAGTGATGTCCTTATTATGCTTCTAAGCCGATACTATCTATTTCCTCTTCGATTTTGGCTATTTAGGGCATAAATAGTCTTTTAATATTTAATTATGCCTGTCCTTAATGCAACTTAAAGACCAGTGAGTGGTGGCCTAGCGTGTTGCTAGGAGCTTGATGGCTTAGTGTTTGATCGCCTAATGTGATTGTAGCTCACAGGTAGGTACTAGAATATGCTAATAGTTTTTTACTTAATTACATAGGAAAGAAATGGGGTAGAGTGAGGTAGTGGATAATATCCGGCTGATCCCGTATGAACAGATTTTTAGGAGCCTGGTTTTTTAATGACTAAGCCCCCCTTCTCTCAAACTATGCCAGATTAGTGCGCGATCTAGTTAACGGAAACACTTGTGCTAAAAATTCTCCTCCTCACCTTCCACCCTTATATTCCTGTTCGCTACCCCTCCTGCACAGAGCCGATAATGTTCTCCCTTAAGACAGCACAGCAGGCCCTTCTTAATGATGGGTTTGTCGATATGGAGGATACGACTGTGGGCGATATTGTTTTAGAGATGGAGAGGAGGGACTTTCCTTACCTTACACTATTTGGCCTAAAGTACTGTAAACGATATATCCTTGGAGATGAGGTAAGGGCGTATGTAGTTTTTTTAGCATGACTTATCTGACGACTTTATGACTACTAGCGCATTCGAGACGTTATTGAATCCTTACTCGACGAGTGCAGCCTCGGACACTGGCTGCGATATCGTGCTTTGCCTGGCCATATCGAATGCTTCAGGAGGGGCGGCAAAGAGGCTGGTCTACGGGTTCTTATCGTTCATCAATTCTGCAAGGACGCTGAGGTTGAAATCTGGCACGGTTCACATTTGTATGATCTACCTATAACGGAGGGCGTCTGATCTTTATATGAGATGACACGACTTAAGCTAGAAAAGGCGGGCTGCACTGCTGAATTAAAGAAGTTTTAATCTGGTGGCTTGTTGGTTTCTCTCGCTAGACATTACGGTCCAGTCGGCTAACCTAAATATAGAATCATCCGAGATGCTTGAACCTACGCCGAAATCCCCGAGGGCTACGTAATCACTTTCATCTTTGCGAAACCAGATTCCCTTTCTACCTGGCTGAAGATCCTTCTCGTAAATTCTCCTGAACTTATTCGTCTGGCCGTGAGTATGGAAACACCTAAGATCTGATTGAACTTTGCGATTAAGGATTCGTCCGTAAGTATAAACCTATAAATAATTTCAGCTTATGCTACGCTTCTAGGAACCCCTTAGCCTTTACTCTCTCCCCAGTTGAAATCACCTGTGAATGGAATAGAGCTAACTATCTGCAAGAGGCGGGTATTGTAAGGATCCCCTATAACACCTTCCTGCATGGGATTATGATAAATGAGCTGCGCCGACGTGGTATCTAACGTGTCGTTATTACCGTTTGGTCTGGTAACTTCGGGGGTAATTGCCACCGATAGAAAGCCTGTATCTATTGGTAAGGAATGTAGTGCACTCGCGTTTGGCTTTGCGTTAGGATAGTTGGCTTCTTGGAGGGAAGAAATAACCCTGCGGCATTGTGAGTCTTCTATAGTTAGCGCGATTGCCTCTCCCTTCCGGGTATTTGATGCTTCTCCCTCGTCTATGCCGGCTATATCCTAAGTCCTCTTTTTGCTTTCGCTTGTTGAGTTGAAAATGAGCCTCTCTGTAAAAGAAGTCTTAGTAGTGTATAATTGAGTAGTAATGTGGTGTGAGACGTCGTTAAACGTTTCCTTCATATATGCGGCTTTTCTGCCAGATTTGGCCCTGTGATTTTCTTCGGAATGTCGGATAAACTCGCTTGCAAACTCAAATAATTTGAAACAAAATACGCATACTTCCTCAATCCTGATATCTATATTTAATGCGTTACTGACCGCTTGGATTGTATAAATAGAGGGCGAAATTACGTTGCGCATAGTGACGCCAAAGTTTGTAGTTCGTTGAGAACGGCTCGGTTCGCTTGCAGCCTGGAAACGGGCAAATCCTGCATCCGGGATCAGGATCGTGAGGCACTTCGCCACCTTGCTGGTCGTCTGAGTGATTATTAATCAAGTGCGTTCGACAATGCTTTAACTGTGTAGCGTGGTAGCTTTCCTGGGACTGCATTAAATTAATATTAGTTGGTTATCAGACTCCTGGCATAATACTCACTCGAATCTCAGCTAAGTGGTCTGCTAATAGTTCGATTGATGGAAATAATGCAGAGCAGCTACACCGATTGTAGTCGTCCATTATGGTCACATTTTTGATGTGGGAGGAATGGCTGATATGAGGTGGAGGAAATGCTGGCTTTGGGTACGGAACGTATGTACTATAATCCGACTAGCATTCGTTGGTGCCCAACCTGTGAGATATAAAGCCTCATTAGGGATAGATTAACACCACCCTTGTATAAAAGCTAGTGAGTAAATATCTTTGACTATATCCATATTGAATTTTATTTATCATAAGACTACTCAGAAGATGTCTAAATGCGAGCTTTGCGATGGTTAAGGCATTCCCGGTACTATGTGCCCTACCTGTGGCTATGACCTAAAGAAATAGGGTATAGCAGCGTTTTCTGAAGAATTTCAAGGTGAGCTTTCGCCTCCTTACTGCCATATTAGTTGCTGTGAGTACCAGTGTTAACACGTTGGGGAGTTTGTATCTAGTTGAGTGTTGGGAATAGGTTGTCGTGGACCTTTACTGTTTGACACTATTTGCGTTGCTAACTTGAGAATGTAGAAAATACAGCCGTGTATTGGTATGCGCTTAATACGTATTAGTTATGAAAATTAGTGTTTGTTAGGCTACTACTCCCACGTAAGTGATAAAAACCACTCTCTATATCTATTACGTCACTATGACCTATGCTGACTAAGGAACGTTTTAGTTGTCTATGAATTCGGGGGCTGTCCACGCATTCGGGGGCTGTCTACGTATTTGGGGGCTGTCTACGTATTCGGGGGCTGTCCACGGCCATTCGGGGGCTGTCCACGTATTTAGGGGCTGTCCACGCATTTAGGGGCTGTCCACGCATTCGGGGGCTATGGGCTGCCTACGCATCGGGGGGCTATCCTGCTGGAGTATATGTGTCTATTCATCGAGGACGTTTTTCAATTACTTATTATCTTATTAACCCATAATACTTGATTAGGGGGATCGACGGTAACCCCCTGCCTACTAGAAAAGCTAATAAATATTCCATAAGGAGATTACGGCGGATAGTTTGTAGCTACTTATAGGAGGTATTAGCACAGTTAAGGAGCTCCTAGGCTGGTAAATGTTTATTAAAGCCTACACGCGATAAGGCAGTCTAATTAATTAATCCAAAAAATTACATCATATTAACTAATGTAATCAAGGATCAACTTCCATTAATTTATATTAACTCTATATAGTTCTTTCATATTTGAGGGGAGCTGGTGATACTTGAAATTTTGATACCTTTGCGGTTAGTGGTATTATATTATAGATCTCTAGAATGCCCACACGCTATTGGAGGATGTAGGTGATCTAAAATCGACTTCGCCCCGTAGATTTCCAACCGGGGAATGCGTTGATACCCCCGTGTGATTAATAAGTTACTCTGGCCATGCTCACGCAATGAGGTGAAAAGGTTTATGGGATAAATGCTTGTATTAGCTGTGCGTGGTCTGGCCGCATTAGATGTGACCTGCATGATAGCATTAGTGAACTAACCACTAACCTTCTGATTTAATTGGCTAACGTGGTACTCGTTAGATTGAATCTGATAGCCGAAGGTTGTAATGGAGATGTGGTGCTCCCTAATTGGATACGATACATGAGTGAGAGAACTATAAGAAGGCAGAATCTCCCTGAGAAGAGGTTATGTTCGTTCTGATATAGCTCTATCCTTCTAAGAATTTAAGTCGTGAGCTGAAGCTTTGCAAGGTCTACTTTAGTTCCTTCACATTTAATCTACATTGCCATTATCTCCTTCGTGCCTCTTATTAGTATATCCTCTATTATACGATTATGACACTCCTCAGCAACATCAGCCCGCCTCTCATCTAAGAGGCACTGTCCTAGCCGATATCTCTTCTAGACCTCTTCCTTCCTGGTTTCTCAAACATTACCAATGCTGCCAGTCAGGTCCTAAATGGCAACATATCTGGCTACACCTAGCTAATGTGCCTCTTTGCACTAGCTGCGTTATTTAAACTATATGTATTTCGATTTATAGATTAGTTTATTAATCACTTTAGTAAGTTATAAGAAATATAATCATAGGACCCAGGCTTACCTCTATAAGTATTAACTCTCTAGATCAAACGCTATGATGAAATATACGATATAATCTAAGAGTGGGTCTTAGCCTATAGATTAGAGGATGCTACTCGTTCTATTCACGCCAAAGTTAATAAGAAATAAAGAACTCATAATACCCACACTAAAAAGCTACTCTAGTATGCCCTATAGGAAGGGGCTTTCTACTTCTAGTACAGGAGGTATTTGCTTTTGTATAAAACCACATAGGTAGATGTCGGCCTTCGCAAGGAGGAATAGATCTCTATCACTTGTATTAGATAATCTTCATAAATCCTAAAATATCTTATAGAAGACTGCCGATGTGAATATCTTAATGGATTGAAGAATAAAATAACTATCTATACACATCGTGAAAATCACTAGAAAAAAGAAAAGGCGGTGGATGCTTAACCTCTTACGACTGTTATACTCAATAAAGAGCAAAAGGGTTAACTTATTAATAATATTAATAAATTCCTTGACCTAGATATAAAAAAACGGTATTCCGATCACTTGATCCCCTACAAACGAGGATATCTTCTATATGGACCTCCTAGAACCGGAAAGATAAGCTTCAGCCTATCTATTACTAGCGTATTAGATATAGATATCTACGTCGTCAGCATCCCTAGCATGAACAATAAAAAGCTGAATGACCTATTTGCTGTGCTTCTAGATAAATGTGTCGTCTTGTTGGAGGATATTGATACCACGGGAGCTATATTATCTAGAGGCTCTAATACCGAAGATTTAGATAGCGATATAGGCGATATAGACATGAGGTCACTAAAAAAGGGGGTGACCCTTTCGGGCCTTTTAAATGTCCTTGATGGGGTTTCCTCTTAGGACGACTGAATTCTGATTATAATAACTAATTATCCTGAAAAACTAGATGATGCCCTTACTCGGCCTGGTTGAGTAGATTTAAAGATTACGTTCTAGCTTGCTAATAAAAGTATTGCTAATGATATCTATCGCTTTATATTTAAATAACCTGAACTTGATTATAGAAATGTTAGTTAATAAGGAGGCTATAATGAAAAAATCAAGAGACAGGCAGAGAATAAAGAGATTAAGGAACAGGCAAAGTTGTTTGCAGCAAAGATACTAGAGTCTGTGTTTAGCATAGCGGAGGTTATAGCTTATCTCTAGTAATACTGGGATTCCCTGGCTAATGTAGTAAAACACTGTGGCTAATGGGTGGATAATCTTTATAAGGAAAAGAAGGCTAAGAAACGAGTAATAGGAAAGGGCGCTAGACAGGGTTAGGCTGAGGTGATAAGACAGAACTGAGGAAGTGCTTTACCAGTCCTTACTGTATTCGAATGCTATTAAGATGAGAAGATGTTGGAGCTATCAGTCCCTACCGTATTTAGTATACTGTTAAGCTAAGCAATAACACTCATTTTCCCTAAGATCAGCTGTAGATTTATCTCACAAGATCTTATGAGAGCTCTTAATGTTCGGAGTGCTTGAGCGTATGTGGTTCTGGCCCTCGGGAAACTGCGGCGACCTATAGCAGTTGCTGATGCTATTCCTAAACCCGGGAGATGAGCAAGAATGATGGAGTGGAGGTATATAGCTATTATCGGGATGGTTCGCTTAGCTTATTAATCACGCGTTGTTCGATGTGGTGGAGTTGACTCCTGGGGCGGACTTAAGTCGTAAGTATAAGTAGGGCTGGTCCCCCTTTTATCTTGCTTCTATACTAATTCTGGCTAAACCTTATATATACTTTTTGAACATTATTTACTTATGACTGATTGTATTTATTAAATCATGGGCTGTATCTCTTAACATTAGATCACTGATGCTTATTTGATGACTAGCCTCTCGTTGGTTTGTGTCTGTCTTTTTGTCTCCCTTAAGTTTCGTCACCCGTGGTCGTGGGAGGTATGGTTTGTATATTTACTTGGGGGATGGATTATGTTGGAGCTGATAGCTCTGATCCTCTTCTCCCTTGAGTATAGCTAATAAGTTAGGCTGCTGTAAGTGCTTTTAAGTTCTATATATATTATATTAGTAATTATCTCCCTATGGGGAGTTGCTATACTTTAGGTTTGCTTTAGTCTTTAATAAGCTTAAACTTATTCTGATGAGATAACTATAGGTTATTGTTATTATTTATATGTTTATGATTATAATTAATAAAGAAGGGTGGTGGAAATGGCTCCTTGTTGTGGAATATATTGAAGTGATCCTTGCTATTATCTTGGTGATGATACTGAATACGCTAGCACCCCTTGAGCTTGCTTATATGACACTATTTACCTCGTAAGTTGCTGCTATTGGGGTTTTATTTCTTGCCTCCTGAGGAATGTTATCTGAGAAGAGGATAGCTGATTATTTATTGCTCCTAGGTTTGTTTATTATACTAGCATCTGTAAGCGTTCTTGGACTTTCGCTGGCTGGTTGCTATATGAGGCTGGTGTTCCCTTAATGGCTTCTCTATATGGCGATATTGACTGTGAGCTATCGGCTTCTGGAAAGTCTATGTTGAGCTTCTTATATAGATGGAGACTCGGAGCTCGAGTTAGCTGCCTACGGCCTCTATGATGACTTAAGGTCGCTACACGTGAATGGCTAAGAGCGTATTTCCTCTGGTGCACTATTGGCTAGAGCTTAGATAGCTAGCTCTATTGCGCCTACGGCGAGCAGCAATCGTGAGTATGTAATGGAGTGTGTCTAAATGGGCGTGGTTAATGAGTAAATGTAAGATGAGTGTTCGGGCTTAGCTTTCCTGATATCTTGAAAGACTTGGAAGGGCTAATTATAGAGGTGATGGAAGTATATGTATAACGGCAGTAAAGTTAATTAAGTGAAGCGTTGAGGTTCAGGCTGTTTATATTACCTCTGTTTACTTTATATGTAGATAGGTGAATGATTGGTGGGCATAGAGTAGAAAGCTTAGCTAGTTAATAGTATGGAGAAATGATTAGCGTATGTCTATCCCGCAAAGGCGAACCTATAGCCATTATACATACCCTGGTGTAATGCCTGGAGTGCTATTCTACTAAGGGGGAGTCCTTGGATAAATATAAATGTAGAGGAACGTCAGGGGGGGGGGGGGGGGGGGGGGAGGGGGCGGAATCGAGCTGGGGACTGTGGCTGAAGCGGCTGATGATGGTGTCTGGTGAGAGAGAGGGAAGGGTCGAGTAGAATATGGTAGAGGAGCAGCTGCTAGAGGGGAGGGAAGGACTGCTTGCTAAATCCGATCCCGGGGCACGACCTACGGCTAGTTTCTCCTGTATATAGCTAGTTTCAGCAAGCTGAGCTAATGATCCCTCTCCTATGCCTATGCCCCCTCGGCGGCCGCTGTCTGGCAAGAGCTAATATCTGGAGGGGTATAGGTAAGTTAACTATAAGTGTATAAAGATAATACCCCCCTTACCTATAGTCTGAAAAGGGGTTAGTAGGATGATGTATCCTGGCCGCTGTTATAAGCAGTATGTAACATAAGATGAGCTGCCTAGGTAGGCGTTGCTAGTTATTAGCCTCTGGTCCTTTTAGAGAGTAGCGTGAGGAGGTCTATAGTGAAGATAGCTGAAAGCTAGATGGTTAAGAGTGTATACCCCTTTTCCTCTAGTGGCTTGAGTATATATAGTAATGTGTGGATTGACTAGATATCCCTCTATTCTAGCTATAATATACTGGACCCTGAGACTGCTATTAACTAGGTGATAAATACGATGATGAAAGATAGGTGAGGAGAGTTATAGTTCTCTGCCTTAAGAGGTAGTGTATATAGAGAGCTATATAAAGTTAGTTGTGATTATATGCTAAGTAATGTCTCCTCTTTAGGTTTAGATATAGGTATTAACGCTCTTATATCTTCATGTGTGTATAGAACTAATAAATATAATAGTATATTATATCCTGCCTATATAAGTATAAGAGACTAATGCGTACTAGCTCTACTTATCCTTGCTATCCTATATCTCCACCTTCCTCTCGCTCTCCTATACCTCTATGTTATTCCCTCTATCCTATGCCTTAGTGTCTAGCCTAATAGCACCCTTTAGGTCCTTTTGAAAGTCCTTAAAGCAGCCTCTACTCCTAGGGTAGAAGTCTATGTATAGGGTGATGTAATTATCTAATATAGATTGAAATCTTCTCTTTATGGGTGAGTCTATATACTTATTGTCTTAATACCTAGACTTTGAAACCTTATATAGGAGGATTATATGAAGAGAATATAGTAAGGCTAGAGCTAGTATCCCTGAGGGTAATGATTGTTAATAAGAGTATATAGCCTGGTGATATTAGCGGCTAAGTGAAGAAGGACTATTATGCACCTTAATATATTTATAGGTAGATACTTACTTATAATATACTCTTAAATATCCTTTAGGTAATAAGATATACTTATAAGTAATGAAAATATCTTAGAGTAGCTAGCTATAGTGATATAGCTATGGAGGTTAGTAATATAAGAGGGAGTATAGGTATATATCCCTCTAGCTCTGGTTCTTATACCTTGCTCCTTATACGCTCCCTGCCTAGGTGGAGTTTACTTTATTTTCCCTGGGTTAGACTAGAGCATTAGTATAAATAGAGTCTGATATCCTAACTATAGTTGTTCGCTCCTACTTAATCTGTTTCTTACTAATGTCCTATTTAGAAATCGACCCTTTATAACTATCTACTATATCTCTATCCGATAAATACCTTAGTTAATCTTTTGTTGGTGAAGAATAGCTGTGAGCTATAATATCTTCTAGTGAGCGAAAGGGGAGTAGTATAGAGACTATTTGTAAAGAATCGCTTGATTATTCACTAAGGAGCCCTGAAGATAAGGAGACTAGTGTAGATGTAGCTTATAAAGAATCGCGTAGGTCTATAAAGAGGAAACGTGAGGATGATCTAGATATTAGAGGTATAGTAACCTAGGTGCTTGTTAGAAGAGAGTCTAATGTATTAGGAAGTGAGTGGCTTACCTTATTGGGAAGGCCCCCTGCTGCCTATAGTTTAGTAGGAAGGCTTTCGTTAGTATAGTACTTTTAGGATTAAGTAGAAGATGTGGATAATTATTGAGGAATATAATGAGATTTTCTTTTAGATCCTATAATAACTACTTTATAATGTGAGGCGTTAAGTGGTAGTAGTGGGATGGGGATAGGATCTTATTATCGCTAAGAGAAGGGACTATCTTATTAATATATATGTAAACTTCTAGCTGGGATGTAAAGGCCCTCTCTTAGCACTCCTTAATGATCTAGAATGGGCTATTGAGTAGGGCGAGGGTAAGGATGATGAAGAGGCATAAGGTAGCGGGGGCAAGAATGGCATAGAGGTATATAAGGGGGAAGTTGAAGATGATATAGAGGTATGTGAGAGCGAGAGCGTGAGTGAGGATGAGGGGGTTGAGGTTGAGGAGAGCGAGTATAGGAACGGGGATGAGAGTGAGGATGAGATTGGAAATGGGAATAAGGCTGAGGAGAACTAGTATATAGGGGTTCCTTGCTATTGTTATATTAAGAGAATATGATTGGTACTTGTATTTATTCACTTAATATATATAATAAGATGTGAGGGTATTAGATCCTATGTTTGAATGTGGAGGAAGAAATGTTGGTTGGCGTGTAGGCTAGCTGGTAACTATTGTAACCGGCTTTATGTAGGCCACTGCTTACTGTGACTCTTCTTATTCCCTTCTGACGCCGCCTGGCTTAAGCACGATCAGGTCGCGCTTTGAGGTCTAGAAACGTGAATTGTGTTACACCCTAGTAAATATGCTTAATGAAATCTAATATTAGATTTGAGAGGACCTAGATGTTTAGGTAGTTCTGAATTTGGTATACTAATAACCACTAGAGCTAGGTTAGCTCATCCTATAGCTATATTTCTATCTATATTAGTGATTCTTAAAGACTTGAGGGAGATGATTATGAGAGAGAGAGGGCCTAGAGGGTACTAGGGGCTAGTCGGGCTATATCACTGCCTCTCCTTGCTTTATATTGAGGTTAATAATATTGTATGTAAGTCTAGGTTAGCAAGCTCAGCTAGTCTATAACTTCGGGCGGTGTAGATGAGCGATAAATATTATATGAAAAAAAAATAGGTAAAGCATTCTTCTATTCTGTTGGTAGTGATACTAAGGAAGGTACTGTAAATAGGGGATAGGCCGAAGGGTGTATGGCGGGAGAGCTAATACGTCGTCTCGCAAAGCGTTGTCTCGTAAAGTGTCGTCACGTAAAGTGTCGTCTCGTAAAGTGTCGTCTCGCAAAGTGTCGTTTGGCAATGCGCCCTTTCCCAAAAGAGTGCAAGAACAACGAGCATCTAACCTGACCAATCACATGGTAGTGTTTCTTATTTATCTGGATGGATGGATTAGATGTGATTGGTCTGTCATAAGTAGACGGATTAGTAGTCGGACTGATCATTCTTATGAGTCTTAAGTTGATTTCCACGGTACCTACTAAAGCACGCTATGCCTTATTTATATGCGTTGTGGAGTCCTTAGATTCCCTGTGCTTAATGTTTTGTTTTGCATTTATCCTCTGGATATATCATAATAAATTGATTATGAGCACTTACTATGCACCCTCCAAACTTCTTCAAATAGGCTATCAGGCTCTATAAAAACTGGTCTCTATGGATTCAGGTAGGACCCACGTGGATCTACGGTCGCTAGAGGAGTGACTAATGGCTGAGCCACGATGTGTTAACATAGGCAACGCGATGCTACCAACACTATTGAGTAATCTGTTGTCACCCTCGCGGACGATGCCCTGAGTGCTCTGACGGACATGGAAAAGCTGCTGCGTTATCTATGAGAGGAGAGAGCTATACGAGAGAAGAGGCGAGCTAACTAGATGAAGGAGCAGCTAATCGAGCAGAAACCGAAAGGGACTAAGCAGCGACTGAATAGGATGATGAATGGGAAAAGACCTGACCTACGATGCTGGATGAGGATCTTGAGGTCTGCCTGCCACGACCTCGTTTACGCCTGCCTTACGGTCGAAACCGACCTGTCTAAAACTACCACAGGCAATATCTATGCCTATTATAAGCTTCTTCTAGAGCACCTTAAGCACTGGATTGGCTTCTCTGATGAGTAAAACGAGATGTTACGTATGGTTTACTTTTCCGAGCTCGAGCAGAGTTTTAGCACCTCGAGTTGAAGGGTGGTTGTTTCTCTTCTGACTATAAGCTCTAACGCTGTCTCTATTAGTGGGCCTCGTGCCACCAGCTTTAACTGAACCACTTTTAACTTCACCATGTCTGGTCCAGTATCTCCGGTGTTAATCGCTTCGCCTTCACTACCTTTGGTTGGGCTAACTTCGGCGCCACCATCTCCAGCGTCACCGTGTCATCCCGCTTCAACCTGCCCATCCTTCGCCCCAAGATCTCCGGTCTCTTCTAGTTCAACTTTGAAGAGTAACTATATATAGTGTGGTTGCTAATTTCTATTTCGAAAAACGGGTCTGTGCATATCTTACGTAATATAACAGGCGGAGAATAGATATCTTATAGCATATTAAGTCTAATTGAAAGTTATTCAGGATAACTATATTAAAAGTGGGCGTAATAAGTTCTATTCCACATTCCGATCGATATAGGAAGATAGGGGGATCTCCCCTCATATAATCATACTTTGGAACGATCTCCTCACCCTTATCTCCGCAGTCGCATCTGCCGATTTCGACTTCAGCCGCGTTAAAGCTTAACTAAAATTCGCTATTTCCGAGATAGCAGTCGGGGAGTTTGTGCTATGAAGGCCTCCCACCGTGATAACGGCTAGACTGAATGGCCAAGAGATGTAAAGCAGGAGGATGTACTGAGCTGGTTTTCAGAATTCAGCGAGAAAATAGCAATATTTGCGGAGGGTAAAGCCTCTATACTAACACGTTAATTAAGACCATTAGCGAAACCGAACGACGCGATCGATAGTTTTATAATCAAACGAAAGATGGATGTTGAGCTCCTTAATTCTTGTATCCGGAGGGCTTAAAGATGCCTGTGAACTGTACTATGCCTCCTATTGCGGGAACTTTATAATGAATAAGTTCTTCCTCTCTCCTTAGTAATATTCAACCTAACTATTTCTGCTGTAGCGGTCTAATCATCTAGTAAAGAGTGTGCGGTTTATCTCGTGAATCATTGCGTTGGTGTGATTTAGCAGACTGGCTTATAGAAGGGCTTGTCCTACGAACCCGAAATAGGGTAATATTAGGTGACTAGCATTAGCTAGTATGCCTGAGTCGTAGGTTCTTGATATCCTATCTACCTGGACATCAGGTGCGTAAACTGTGAGCGATTGAGAGGCAAGCTACGCTTCCTACGCTTCTGGGAATGAATCTTGAGGTTTTCTACTCTGTGTTGTCTTTTTGTCCTGGACACTGCGGAAAGTTGATAGTGTTTGAGGGGTGGTCGGAGAATGGCGCGGTCGAAATTAATAATTATGACATGGCGCCGCTCGGCATTCTAGAGCAGGTTAGCATGGCGCTCGTCACCGTGCTTAACGCCATAGGCCTAGACGGCCGCCGACGAGCGGTGCTACTGCGCCCGCAGATCCGCCGCGCCTATATCTGCCTTGGCTGCTTCCTCGCTGCCCCACAACATCAGCATTATATGAACCGCCCTCGTCCCGCCCGGCAGAATATAGCCCTGATAGAGGTGCACTAGACCCAGTTGCATAGGCACCACCCAGCCCTAGAGGCTCTCCAGCCGCTTATAGACGTAGCATTTATACCATAGGCGCTTAAGCCGATTTGACTATATCCCCTTGCCGATGAATGTGTAGCTATATAGCTTAAGTTCCAGCCTGAATAATATGCCTATCGCTCCCTTTTTACCCCACCTATCTAAGGCATAGCAATTTCGGTAGGGGTCTTTGTATAACTGTAAGCTGACTAGACGAGTGAACTCGTTAGCGTTGATAAGATATTGCGTGCTAGCTTCACTCACTATACGATAAGAGAGCATATTAGGACAACCGTTATCAAGGTCCTGACCCTTCTTGAGACCTAATAGACAAGCCTGCGAGCAGTATTGTCTGGTGGGTGCTGAACTAGGCATTTCGGCGTCTTCTTCGGAGCTACTATCCGACGGACCGACCTTCCGTTTGGCCATATCTGATGTTGTCTGCGTCGAGGGTAAGCGGCCCTCTGGCTCCTCCTCTTCATCGCTATCGTGATCCCGGCGACGTAACGCTGAGATCCCATATAATGATCTCGTCCGCAAGGAAACTACCCGGCTAGTCGGGGCTGCACTGGATGTGAAATCATCCTCTTATAGCGGCGAGGATAACTATACTAGTGATAACTCTATATCCTCTTCGGAGAGGAAATGCGCAGCATCCTCATACAGTTCTGGCCACCTCGCCAGTGCTGCGTTCACGCTCTCCAGAGATGCGTCAAGAATAGCCCCTTGAAGCGTATTAGATCGAAGACTTAATAAGACTAAGCTGGATAGCTGAGCCACTGCTGTATAGATTATTTTATCGGCCCAGTTTGCGGCTGACGTCTCGCCCACATCTTCATCCAGCATACACGGATGACAATAGAGCGTCTATGGGTAGGCTAGGTCAAAATGAACTAGTAACAGGGACTGGCCTGCTGCAATATAACCATATACGACCCTGTAGTTAACCATATAGTCGAAGACTTGCGTGAGTGCTATGGCGATCCGTGCTTCTGCTCTGAACTGTTCTAGCTCGGCACCTATCCTGGACTTATTGCTATTAAGTTGCTTAATGACTTCCATAAACAATATCTCCTTTACAACAGCTAATTTAACATGCTCAGCTACAACCTTGTGGGCTGCCTTATAATCGTAAACAAACGCCATGCTTTTATCTCCGCTAAGTTGCGTTCGGAGTCCGAACCTATCGGGATTTGTTGGCCGAGGCTTTACTCTCTGCTCGGATGCCACTCGCTTATTCGGCCCGGTCTGTAAACGTCGCTCTAGCCTGTCCTCACTCGGATCTCCCTCGTTCGCTGGTTGGCTTCCGGCGCTTGCTTATATGATTTCGCGCCTGTTATTACTAAATCGGAGCTCGCTGAATCTGTATTTCGTATGTATTGCTTCCTGGCCTTCTAGATGCTTAAAAATGGCAATAATAGCGTCCTTAGTCGCGATTTTTTCAAAATACGTGACCGCGTTCTTATTAGACGCTAGCTTAGCGGAGATATTCCTTCCTATATCTCAGGTGGTACTTCGTTAATTAAAAAGTCGTTCCTTTCCACAGGCTCCCCTAATTACGTCAAACTATTATTGGCGTAATAAGTCCGCAAACTTAGTCTAAGGACGTATCCACATAGGGTAGAATTTGCTATTAACGCTTATAGACCCTGTTGAGGATATAGACTTATCAGCAAGCTTGAAGTTCTAGTAGAGATAGGTATAGTAGTTCTATAGATATTCATCTAGTGTGGTCGGCTGGTTTTCGTGTATGAGCTATGCTTTCTCGCGTCGCTCTCTTTCCTTCTCGCGTCGCTCTCTTTCCTCTCGTGCCTCTACTGCCTCCCTCTCGCGTCGCTCTCTTTCCTTCTTGCGTTGCTCTCTTTCCTCTTGTGCCTCTGCTGCCTCCCTCTCGCGCCGCTCTTTTTCCCTCTTACGTCTGAGCTCTTCGTTCTTGCGTTGAAGCCGTACAATCTCTGGGTCAGACATTAGGTGTAACTGGAGTATCGATTTGTGGTGAGGATGATGATGTTGGTAGGCTATCCATTAATTGATTAGAAATAGGTATCTCTATTTCTCGGGTAAATATCGGAGATTAGACCAGGAGGCGTTAGTAACCGACGTGGCTGGAGCTTAGCTACGTTATTGGAGGGTTAAATGTGGCTAACTTGGCTGCTATGGCACCAGGTTGAGGCCGCCTCTATTCCGAAATAATCCCGAGACTTGGCTGTTCCACAGGAAATGATATCTCCTGCATATGTAGCACCTTAACTAAGAAGGCAAGTGTGAAGACAGCCTCCCGTAATACATCTTTTAATATCTTCAGATATGAAGGATCTTGCATTCGGCATTCTATTAGCGCTTTAAACACTCCTAGCTACCAGCCTTTCGCCGTCGAACACGAGTCACGATACTCTCTCTGAAATGATCCCCCGGTAGTTACTTCTATGGTTGCATCTAGTCCCTTCGACTACGACTGTATTAAACTACTACCACGATCTGCTCTTACCGGTGCGCAAGTCTACGATGCCGTCACTGAACCTATGTTACGTCTGCGACCGCTCCTCCGTATAACGAACCCTATGGGTGCCTATAGTGCCCCTGCCTAAAGATCCTCGTACTAGGAGAGCTTAGAAGTAACCAGTTGGGTGGCGGGGCCTTGGAAGCACGGCTTGATGTAAGAAAGTACGCAGGGAAAGTGCAATATTTAAGAAGGACTGGGCATCAGAAAAGCGGTAGACTATAGGCGTGAACGTTTGATATAGTGAAAAATAACCCGGTTGACATATCGCTGAATAGCTACTACACCAGTCGGAAGCGATCACTGACTAAACTGGCGCTCCTGTGGCTCCTAGCAAGTGATCCTACTCCACGTCTTAAACTAAGACTACGAGGACCCTACTAAATCGACTATATTAGCTAACTGCCTGAATTTAACCTTTTAAAGCCCCGGAGTTATAAGATGAATAGGTCTAAATGCCACCCTATCACATACGTCGAGCTGCTTTCTGGGTAGGTGAAACGAACATTTGACTCTGGAATCTTATCTGTAGATATCACTCCTGCTTGTGGGGCCCTTTAAGATTTCTCTACTTACGCATGGGTACACGTTTGCTGGTAAAGGCATAATGCTGGTTTTCATCTCAGATCTAATGCACGAAGTTTTAGCCTATAAGCGACTTAAGGGAGTATGAGGGCCTTATGCGCCCGTCTTCCTTAGTCCTATCGACCTCTACGCACTCAGTAGAACCTGGTACTTACTGCGATTTTCGTGTTAAGGTCGTGCATTTATCCTTTTGCTATGGGGAGGGGGCGGCTTGATGCGCGACGGGAAAGTATGCTGCTTAACCCAGAAAGTAAAGGGGTAATGGTAATTGACTTTGAGCGCTCGCAGCTTCTATTGTTCGCTAATGCCTAATTGGTAAAAAGACATGGTATTTAATGCGAATGATGACGCTGGCAAGGGATCGCGGTAATACTAACTCTACGTACGTAGTAATGCTTCGTGCGATCAGCCGAATAGGAAGTGCGTTTGCGTACGCGAGAAATTGGCCATTCTTGTACGCGACTTTGCGCGGTCCTATTTAGTACAGTCTTTAGTGTACTCTGTATGCGGTGGGTCGTACGTAACTCAGCGTACGTAGTCTATGTGCTTATTAATTAATTAATTAAGAGCTATTACCGGCCTTTGGTGTGGGTGCTTATTGTATGTTTTATCTCTCTTGTGGGAATAAGGTCTAGTACTCGGAAGAAGCTATGGACGATGTTAGCGAGGTGAGAGGCATAGTACTGGAGAGATAGGAGATGTAGTACTGGAGAAATGGGAGATGTAGTACTGGAGAAATGGGAGATGTAGTGCTGGAGAGGCCAGAGGCGTAGTACTGGAGAGATCGGAGATGTAGTACTGAACGGTGTAGCAGTGGAGAAGTGTAGTTTCGTAGGGGTGCAGTGCTGTGGACAAGTAGTGCTGCGGATGGGTAGTGCTGTGGACGGGGTAGTGCTGTGGACGGGGTAGCGCTGTGGACGAGTAGTGCTATGGATAAGTAGTGCTGTGGACAAGTAGTGCTGCGGATGGGTAGTGCGGGCGGGTAGTGCTGTGGATGAGTAATACTACAGACGGGTAGTGCTGTAGACAAGTAGTGCTGTGGACAAGTAGTGCTGTGGATGAGTAATACTGTGGATGAGTAGTGCTGTGGATAAGTAGTGCTGCGGATGGGTAGTGCTATGGACAAGTAGTGCTGTGGACGGGTAGTGCGGGCGGGTAGTGCTATGGACGAGTAGTGCTGTGGACGAGTAATACTACAGACAGGTAGTGCTGTGGACAAGTAGTGCTGCGGGCGGGTAGTGCTTGCTGTGGACGGGCGCGCTACGTATAAGTTGTAAATAGTACTAAGAGGCGTAGTGCTCTAGGCGCCTGTAGTGCTCTAGATGTGTGTGCTGTATACGTGCTATAAATAGTACTAAGAGTCATAGTGCTCGAAGGGTGTAGCGTTATATGTAGGCTATAGATAGCACTAGAGAGGTGTAGTGCTAAAGAGATGTAGTGCTTGACCTATTGGTAGACCTAGGTCGTGCTCGTAAATGATGTGAAAAAGAGCAAGTACTAATTAGCATATGATAGACATTAAAAGAATAGATCGATCATGCTCCGCGGATTTCGACTCGCAAATAAGGTATCAGAGTTATATTTTTCCACTAGTGTGGCGAAGCTGTTGTCGGCGATTAGTCACTAAGACGGGTGGTCCGTTAAGGCACACGGCTTAAAAACACGGGGTCCCTTCTTGTATATCTCACGTAACACAATAGGCAGAAGCTATAGCACACTAAGTAACCTCTATTCGACATTTCAATCGACAGCGAAGATAGGCGGGATCTAGCCATCGTGTTGCTAGTGCACTTCACTCGAAAATAGCCATGACTCACGATAGAAGGATCTCCTCGCTACACATCCGTACGTGCACCTGCCGATTTTAATGTCGACCGCGTTAAACCTGTACTGAAACGCGCTATTTCCGAGGAGCCGGGTGATGTTCATATAGGATCAATTTTACGACGCTATCGCTGAAGCTACACCACCTCCTCAACCAGTTGCTCTTCCATACAACAAATACCATAGCTGCGTAGTACCAGTAGCTTCACGAACTCATCCAAGTACTAGAAACATAGATATAACTTTAAGGCGATGGGAAGTTTTATCATCGACTTAATGCTTTCTCTTATTCTAGATTTATCAAGTGGTACAAGGATGGGAGGGAGCTCGATGGCAGCGAGGCAATGAGTCATAAGTGGAGCGTTAAGCTAAGCAATTTAGTGCGCCTCTAGATAAATTTAGGGGCCGGAGGGGGACTTATGTATGAAGTTTATCCCTGCTTTAGAACGCAGTGCGCGACCTGTATCCCTATATTGGCGAAATGGCCCGGTCAGTATGAGACACTAGGATGGTACTATTTCTTGGGCTCCTGGATAAACTTTTGAACTCTTGAGTTCGTATTACGAATGTTCATACCCTTTTTGCGAATTAGAGTTACCGCGACCACGAGGAAAGCAGCGACAAATACTTCACTGCTGGAACTGGTCCTAGATTCAAAGAATCTTCTTCCCGTTAAAACCCGGCGGCTATAGTTCGGCTACCTCGAGGCTAAGCTACGCTTAGGTTGAAAGCATGGGTTAAGGGGCACATATGTACCTTTGACGTTGAAGGCCTAACTAAGTATACGCCCCTGATATCGTAGGTTTTGCATCCGCTCGGCCCACAAGCCCACGCGTCCTAGTGGAAAGGGTGGCCACACATAATGCAACCATGTGATACAGTGCAAACTAGTCTAGTTATCTTATTTAATGTTTGTATGCATTTAAACTACCTACCTTCCCTATTCCTTGCTCTCTTTTCCTTGGACCATCTATAAGCTGTCCTGGCGATCTTTTCAGCCACTACCTGCACCACTAGTTTGCACTAAATTTATTTATTTATCTGGCCAGTTCCCACATCCAAGCAGAATGTGTCGCACACCTTGCCGGCTGTGTCCACCAGCCTTGTCGCCATCGCAGATATGAGCATGGAAGCCGACGATCAAAGTATTTCAATAGTCATCGAAGTGTGTCCAAGGATAGCTAATGTGTACGAGGACATTTAGTGTCTAAGGACCGGTCGTACGTCCCAGGACCGACTATGCGTCCTAGGACCGGCTGTACGTCCCAGGACCAATCATACGTCCCAGGACCGACTATACATCCTAGGACCAGTCGTATATCCCAGGACCGGCTGTACGTCCTAGGACCAGCTATACATCCTAGGACCAATCATACGTCCCAGGACCGGTCGTGCGTCCTAGGACCGGTCGTGCGTCCCAGGACCGGTCGTGCGTCCCAGGACCGGTCGTATGTCCCAGGACCGGCTGTACGTCCCAGGACCAGCTATACGTCCTAGGACCAGCTGTACATCCTAGGACCAATCATACGTCCCAGGACCGGCTGTACGTCCTAGGACTAATCATACGTCCTAGGACCGGTCGTGCGTCCTAGGACCAGTCGTATGTCCCAGGACCGACCATGCGTCCCAGGCTAGGTCCCAGGACAGCTCTGTGGTCCCAGGACAGCTGGTGTGTACGCGGACGATCAGTGTACGAGGACGGCCGGTGTGTACGGGGATATCCCCATGGCCTGCAATTAACACAATCACTCATTTTAACATGTACGAGGACAGCTAGTGTGTACGCGGACGGTCAGTGTGTATAGGGACAGCCAGTGACCTTATGAAACGCTGCGCATTTTATGCTCGAGCTGTAGATTCTGGCCTAAGGTAAGTGCCTGGATATTGACCAAGGAATAATGTGTATAGAGTGTATACGAAAGGCGTGCTTCTAGTGCGGGGCTAAGAATAGCCGAATAGCCAAGCTATTTACAGTGTATGCACAAGAAGCCTTTTCTGGCTCTCATGTGTCTATATTCGTAAGTTAGACATAAAGACGTCTTGGGCTGTTAAACATCTCGACTGAAACAGTAATGTGTAACAGGAGTTGGGGATATATATAAGTATAAGTGCTCCCGCCTGTTAAATAATGAATAGAATAAGCAATATAATCCTCATTTCAAAATGGGTAATAAGAGGAGAAATAAGTAGGGTGAGCTTATATATGATAGCTTATGAATAAGTAATATAATATGATATTAGTTAATAATATAGATTAGGTCTAAGTATATATAAGATGTAGCATAAAGAAAAATAAAAAGAAAAGATTAATATGCCTCTACGTCGGGAAATATTTAGTACTAGATACGCACTAGAACGTGATTACGTGAGTGCCTTGTATAAGCGGAGGGTAATTAAATCATAAGTTAGCTATACTTTACCCCTTCCCGGAGGTGGTAGTTAACGTAATATACTCTGCTTAACCTGTTAGTTGATCTTTCCTGACTGCTGATTTTATAATGATAACGATAACGACATGAGCCATGCGCCGAAGACTATGTTGAAGGCATCGCTAATACTGGCCACATCTACTTATGCCTCGCCAAACTCCCTACACTACGTAACCCTAGCTTAAAACCTATCTTTTCTATCCCTATTGAAGAGATGGGCCGGAATGGTGCCCTAAAGCAGAATATCGATAATGTTTAACTCACGCCACCTCTAAGTAGACATCACTATATTAGCGCTCGCGATAACCCGTCCCCGCCGATAGCGCTACGCTGGTGTCGTTGTCGTCGTCCAGGCTCCACCAGGCTCCTTTAACTTCGCCGATATCCGCGCCGCCCTTTGCTGATACCTCTAGTCGTGCTGTTGGCTCGTTGGATGTATCTCCACGATTGCGTACAGATCGAGGTATCGCTAGCTAAGCCTTAGGCATTATCCCGCGAAGATACTCCAGAAAGGGTATTATTACTAAGCAAAGATACTATTTTAGCTATAGAAATGGCGGATACGACATTAACTGGCTTTTAACTAGATCTACCGCGGCCTATACTATTACTATATTATATCCTATTAAATATATTGTAGAAATTACTACCTATATACTATTAGAGCTAGTATTAATAAATAATATAATGTAAATATTATAACCTAGGTTAATTTAATTTCACTTAAAGTTAGATATATATTTACTATAAAACTCTAGCTTCTAATATTAACGAGCTTATTATAGGTTGGCCTTATATAGGCTGGCCTATTATAGGCTAACCTATTATGTAGGCTGGTCTATTATAGGCTGACCTATTATATAGGCTGGCCTATTATAGGCTGACCTATTATGTAGGTTGGCCTATTATAGGCTGGCCTACTGGATGGGCTGGCCTGCTAGATAGGCTATCCCATCGGATGGGCTATCCTATCTTGGGCTATTCTATTAATAGGCTGTCCTACTAGATGGGCTGTCCTATTAGAAGGGCTGTCCTATTATAGGCTAGTATATAGAATAGGCTGGTATACTATATACTATCTTATTAGAAGGGCTGGTATATAATATGCTATCCTATTGTAAGGGCTGTGTTATAAAACTATATGATTATATATGAAGGGTATTATGTGTTATCGTATGTAATACTAGATATTTTCCCTAAGCTAGGGGCAGATTAATCTTATCCTTCTTTTTGATTTCTTTATGCTATATCTTATATATAGAACCTAGCTATGTTATTAATTAAACCCTATTTAACCTTATTTCCTTATAGCTATCCTACTATGTGCTATCCCACTAGAAGGGTTAGTATATTGAATGTTCATCTATTTTTCAGGACTAGTAGAAGGTGGTTAGGGACCTAGGTGTGTGCCGGGGGGGCGTGGTGGTGGGGTAACCTAGGTGCGCTCTTGGCTACAGGTTTAGGTATAGCCCCACAGAACCTTCTAGGTCTTATGTGTTAAGTTAATGCTGCAAGTATATACCATATGTATATAGCTGTTTTTACTTCTATTTCGATAATAAAACTTATATATAAGCTCCTTATAATTCTGAACTTACCCTTCACTGTCTCTATAATTATATAGGTACGACGGGATAGAAAGCCACTATAGTATACGGTAAGTGGGAAAGCTAGAGGTTGCTAGCAACCTACAGAAATTAGGGAAGCTGAGGTTGCTAACAACCTACAGGAATTAGGAAAACTAAGGTTGAAGCTAGAAATCAGTAAAGCTAAGGTTGCTAGTAACCCTCCAGAAATCAGAGATTAGGAAAGTTTAAGGTTGCCAGTAACCCTCTGGAAACTAGAGATCAAGGGTTAGGAAAACTTATAGTCGCTAGCGACCCTATAGAAATCAAAGATCAGGGGTCAGGAAAACTAAGGGTCGCTAGCGACCCTCTGGAAAGTAGAGATCAGGGGTCAGGAAAACTTATGGTCGCTAGCGACCCTCTGGAAAGTAGAGACCAGGGGTCAGGAAAACTCATGGTCGCTAGGGACCCTCCGGAAAGCAGAGACCAGGAAAACTCAAGGTCGCTAGCGACCCTATGGAAAGCAGAGACCAGGAAAACTCAAGGTCGCCAGCGACCCTATGGAAAGCAGAGATCAGATGTCAGGAAAACTCATGGTCGCCAGCGACCCTATAGAAATCAGAGGTCAGGGGTCAGGAAAACTTATAGTCGCTAGCGACCCTCTGGAAAGTAGAGATCAGGGGTTAGGAAAACTTATGGTCGCTAGCGACCCTATAGAAAGCAGAGATCAGATATCAGGAAAACTAAGGGTCGCTAGCGACCCCCCGGAAACCAGAGATTAGAAGTCAGGAAAACTAAGGTTGCCAGCAACCTGCGGGGGTTAGGAAAGTTAAGGTTGCTGGCAACCTATAGAAAGCAGTAATCAGGGGAGCTAAGGTTGCTAGCAACCTACAGAAAGCAGTAATCAGGAAAGCCGAGGTTGCTAGCAACCTATAGAAAGCAGTAATTAGGGGAGCTAAGGTTGCTAGTAACCTATAGAAAGCAGTAATCAGGAAAGCTAAGGTTACTAGCAACCTATAGAAAGCAGTAATTAGGAAAGCCGAGGTTACTAGCAACCTATAGAAAGCAGTAATTAAAGGAGCTAAGGTTACTAGTAACCTATAGAAAGTAGCAATTAGGAAAGCCGAGGTTACTAGCAACCTATAGAAAGTAGTAATCAGGGGAGCTAAGGTTGCTCTAGAGCGTGTAGGTTACTAGTAATATACTCTATTCATAGAAAACAGTTTTACATAGCGCTAAAGTTTTCTAGCAACCTATAATATAAAATAGCTAACTAGAGCGCTTAGGTAGTCACATAAAGATTTACAGGGCGCTAAGATGTTGGTTGCTATGTAATAAAGGGGGTATACATATAAATCACACACTATAGGTATAGGGGTTAGTTCATCTAACTAGGTATACCAAGATCAAGGAGCTCTATAGTCCTAGAACTAGTACTAGCCTAGAATAAGCCCTAAGTCAGGGTTAAATACCACTAGGCTCACCCTCCTCCTTCCTTATAGCTATTAAATCTAGTAATTTAACCTTAGATACTAAATTACTAACTAATTAATTCTTCCCTAAAAGGAAAATAAGACTATAGAATATAAGCTACTACCTACTAAGAGAGATTGCTTAAATGAGAATCTCACTAGGATAATAGAGTAGTTAATATATAGATGTGATAAGATTAGCCTTCAAGGTAACTTTAATATTTATCTCCTTATGCGTTAGAATAATAGGTATTATAAGTATAACTCTACTAGTGACTTATTGTTCCCAGCCTCTATTAATAAGATTATAAGTAGCCTAATAAAATGTTAATCCCTATAGCTTACTTATTTATTTTCTTTAATAAAGGGAAGATTATTCCTACACTCTATGAGAAAGATGCTGGCTAATTATACTATAAAGGAGGATAGTAATAGTACTTCTATCTAGATATCTAGAGTGACTTTCTATAATTAAGGCGTTCTTTTATTTATCTATGCTTATTTATAACTAGCTCTATATCTAGGGATGAGCTATTAATATCTATAAGCAATATATAAGAGCGGATGAATATAGTGAGATACTGCTATGAAAAGGCCGAAAAGGGCGGCTAGGTTAATAAAATAACCAGGAGTAATTAAGAAATGCTGAGAGCGAATAATATATAAAAGGCTTATATAAGCCTTGGATATTAGGCCTAATACTAAATGGGAAGGGGAAGAGGAATTAGATAAGAGGAGCAGAAAATAGACGTGAAGTTACTAGCGACCTACGCAGGGATGAGATACGAAAGCAGAAAATAGATCCTTAAAGGCTTCAATAGATAGACGGCCGGTCGTGTGTCTAAAGGCTAAGACACTAAGGTCCACATTATACGCACTAATATGGCTTTTAGCTTACTCCGTACTTATAGTATTAATAGGGTCAGTCCCTAATTTATTAAACTAGTAGCCTAGATAATAGCTTAGTCCATAAGTATATAAGTATAATCAGGCCTTAATTAAAATGTGCTATATTCGATGTACCTAAGACTTAGCTTTAATTTAAAATCTTAGCACCTTAACCTATAGTTTAGCCGCACTACTAAGAATTAGGACTTAATTTAACCCCCGCTGAGCTTAGTTTTAGGAAGTAATTAACCATCACACTAGTACCTCTAACCTATATAATAAGTACTAGCGATCAAATGCGATGAAATATAGCTATATGTAATTAAATATAATCAAATACGATTAAATGCGACTAGCTGCAATAAAGGCTAATAAAATGCAACTAAATATTAGGGCATTATAGTAGGTATAGAGTATATTCTAGTATATACTTACGTTATCTAAATACTACTTCTCTAATTTCCACCTTATATCTGCTTATAATACACCTTATATTAAACAGTTGCTCTGATCCTACTATAATAATAGGGGAAAAGGGCGGCTATACTATAAGCCTGTGTAAACGCTTGGTAAATCGTATGCGCCCTAGTATAGTAACTAATTGTAAGTATACCCTTATAGTATTATAGGACTATGGACTGAAGTCGTAATCTTATCTATCTCCTTGAAGGCGTCTATATCCTATAGTATGCCTAGTACTGCTCTATGCCTTTAGATTGAAGAGGAGAAAGGTTCTTCCTTCCGAGCTCCCCTTCGTAAGCTTGAGCTACAGAACGATCTATGTATATCGCCTTGCACTATAGACCCTCGCGCCCTTATTCACCAGGATCTATGCGCCACCGTTACGCCACAAATACTCTACGCAGCTACTTTTATACGCCTTAACGCTAAAAGAAAGCCATAAGCCCAGAAAAGTGATGGCCTGTGTCAGAACTGTAAATAGTTTTAGCGTCATGGCCCTATAAGGCTTGGTCCTTCCGGGCGTAATAATTCTTATCCATTCATTTAACGCTGAGTTCATCCGCTTCAACTATAACTAAGTAGCACAAGCACTTTGAAGAGCTCGACATTGAAGAGCTATAATGAGCCCACTCACTTTACTGGTGCCCCTATATAATATAAATCTTGCGGCTATATCTACTGCTCTCCTGCTTCTATACGCGTCTCCTTTTCGTCGGGGTTAGCGCTGCTAAATCTGCTCCTAGTATTGCTTAGCTCTATGCCGTAACTATTACGCTGCACTAAGCGGAATACTTACTTACTACCACTATTGCCCCTGTTTAGCGGTCCGCTGTGAGACCTGCCATTTTATTATTCAGTTGCGCTGCTTTCTCTTATTTGTTCTGAAGAACACTTACTTGTTAGTTCCTGTTTGGGCTACATAGAAGATTTCATGCGCTCAGGATGGTTAGCTACCCTATAGACTAAGCTCCGCTATAACTAATCAGCACCTATAAGGTGGCGGGGTCAAGGCGTGGC